ACAAACACTTTAAATTGTTGCTGAGAATAGCGTAGTATGTTGTAGGTGGTTTTAAAAATGCGTAACACATACGTCAGCCAGTGCGCTCGCACTTATATCTGTAAATTAAACACGTTTTTATGAGGTTTATTTGCGCAAAGCGAAATTTAGTCATTTCGAAGTCACGTGCAGAAAGTTGGGTGATTAAGCTGATAGTGTTAAGGGAATATGTATTTAGTGCTTGTTTCTCCTTTGACTGATCGTGCTTTCAAGTCTTTCGCTGAAATACGAAAAAAAAGTTATACAAGAGAGGAAACACGTTTGGGACAAATGCTTCAAATCACATAAGAAACAAAACACGAAGCACGCGACAGGAGGCTAAAATAGAGAATCTTCGACATTAAAACGGGTTTTATTCAACAACATATTTCAAATTAAATTTTCAAAGTAATTTGTTAACGAGTGAACATTAACTAAGAATACCCTACTGGTTTGTTAAGAATTTCAATATGAGGCCAGTGCTGGAATGTAGTTAAATTGAATCGCATTTAAACAATAGTAGCGCTGTGCTTTATGAATTCCTTCGGTGGCCTTCCGCGATGTTGTAAACAAATGTAGTCTTAGTTACCCTTCGATGATGGGCATACAAGCTTTACTGTTGTTTTCTTGCGGTTTATCGCTGTGGATTGCTTTTGAAAACGGAAGCTGCATAATATCCCTAACAAGTGGGAAGTGCGAAATGTGAAGACAATCCGACTGCTTCCAGGGCGCTATTATAGCATATTGAATTTTTCAGATTATGTAAAATGCGACAGATACAATCATTCAGGAAATGTGTCCTATTCGCGTAACACGATGGCTAGTGTCCCAATCGGTAAGCATTATTAAATGAATATAAAAATACATGGACTTCAATTGGATGGGCAGGCAAGCTTGAACCGATTCAAAATCATTTTCTGTTCGTTTATCTTAATTCCTTCTGAATGTTGCATACCTCCAGATAATGTCAATATACTCTGCAGCGCGTATGGTGTAGGGTATAATGGAGGAGTGAAAAAATTCGTCGTCGTTATCTAAGAATTTAATCTTCCAAGCGTTTCCAGAATAGATCATTACCTGTCAATTATAGTTTCCTAGAGATATTGGAATCCATCGTTATCAGAGCGTGTTTGAACAGTAAACACACTTTCAGTATTTGTGCAGAAAGTCACACTCTGCGTCGTCAATTTGGTAGCGACATAATTTCCTGGCGACGCATTTTCTTCGATGTAATCAGCAAAACTTCGCAAAATCATAAATAAGAGAGAGAATGTGCTTGTACTTGTATCACGATACCGGAATGAAATTATGTTTGTCTTATAGCCTTCAGCGTCCTTTGCGCCATATCAAATATCTGGTGTGTGCTGAGTTTGAATTTCCTTCTAAAGCGATCTTTACCCTGCAATAAATAAACACAAATATTTTATGAGACTTAATAACTTTTCGATTTTGTGGTTATAATGCAAGTTTTGAGAATTCTTTGTGTGCATATGTTTACATATAATTATTTAATTTTTATAATTATTTTGCGACTTTTTTTTTTTATTTCACGGTTGTATGATAAGCGACATAAGCCTAAGACAGTGGCATACTGGTGAGATTCTTCTTCACTTCATCAATCAATCTGCTTAAGGAAAAGCCAAAAGAGTTAAAAGTTATCCTACATGTACTTAAGACGAAGAATTCTTTACTTAAACGCGACTAATATTAGTTTGGGGAAAAAGAAATCCATTATTTTTTGGGTAGATGGCTGCGCTGATAGATTTCTCGTAAAGTATCGATCAAACAATTTCAGATTTATGCTCGTTGGAAAGTTGACATTTCGCACTAAAAAAAATTGTTTTGCTGTTTTTTGTCTGGTGCATTCAGTTGTGAGTTACAGCGTGTTAAAAATGGAAGTGAACAAAGAGAAAATTCGATACATTTTACAGTTTTCCTTTGACAAAGGCGAATATGCAAGCCAGGCGGCTAAAATTGCGAATGGTTTTTATGGTTCCGATACTGTACCAGCCAATTATGTGCAATTTTGGTTTCGTAGATTCCGTTCAGGAATTTTTGATGTTAAAGATGCACCTCGCACAGGTAGGCCGGTCGTCGAAAATGTCGATAAAATCGGAGAAATGATCGAAGTTGACCGGCATGTTAGCAGTCGTAACATCGCCCAGGAGCTAAAAATCGACCATAAAACAGTTTTAAACCATTTACACAAAGCTGGATTCAAAAAGAAGCTCGATGTTTGGGTGCCACACCAATTAACAGAAAAAAACATGATGGATCGAATTTCCATCTGCGAAGCCTTGGCCAAACGGAATGAGATAGACCCATTTCTTAAACGGATGGTGACTGGAGATGAGAAATGAATCACATACGATAACCCTGTGGAAAAACGATCGTAGTCAAAGAGCGGTGAAGCACCTCAAACGGCCAGGAAGGTTTTGCTACGCATTTGGTGGGACTGGAAGGGGATTATTTATTATGAGTTGCTTCCATATGGCCAAACGCTAAATTCTGATCTCTACTGTCAACAACTGGACCGTTTGAAGATAGCGATTGACCAGAAACGGCCAGAATTGGCCAACAGGAGAGGTGTCGTGTTCCACCAGGACAACGCTAGGCCACACACATCTACAGTGACTCGCCAGAAACTTCGGGAGCTTGGTTGGGAAGTTTTAATGCATTTAATGAATGAAAATCGACTACTAGAGTTTTTTGCAAATAGAGACCAGGACTTCTGTGAGAGAGTTATTTTGAAGTTACCTTTAAAATGGCAACGAATCATACAACAAAACGGTGCATATTTGACCCAAATCGGACAATCCGAAGCTTGTTATATAAAGTCCTGAAGTTCATATAAAAATAATGGATTTCTTTTTCCCCAAACTAATATATAAAATAAAGATTTACCGTATGTCGCGTCCGACATGCAACGTTAAACGCTAGATTAGTTAACGCGGTGGCATAACACTTGTCAAGTTGGAGACACCTCATATCTTTCTCTTTCTTCCCACTTCTTTCTAACCATCAATGCTTTTGAATAGATAAGAGAGGACATCTCTGAATGACAAGTCATTTAAAACAAGTAAGGAAATTACATTCGGTAACAAATTTTCATAATCTACAATATTGGGGGGGCCAGCGCGGTTGACTTTTGGTATTTTTACAATATATTTATAGGGCATTGTAGACATGTGCGCATTGTACGCATGTTATTTAAAATGTTTCAGTCATTTTCAAATTGTTTTTCAAATTTGTAAGCGATGTATACATTCTTGCGACCTGAAGAATGCTTACCGCAGATACTACACAGGCGGGTATGCTTCGGTGCATTCCGAATTTGAAACTGGTCTTAAATTTATTTCCTTTATGGAATTTTGGGAAGCTTGCTTCTGTGCGTCGTAGAGTTTTGACAATAAATACGACTCAAATTAAGTAGGCGTGGCCGATTTTTTTCCACTTTTGTAAAGGTACTACAGCAATGCCCACAGAATATACCGTCAAATTTTCAATACTAATCTACGTGCAAGAATTTCCTACGTGCAACTACTTTCTGCCAAAATTTGAAGTCGATAACTTAATTTTTGCGGCCAGGAGAACATCCCGTTTGGCAAAACGTTTCCAGCGCCCAGAAAGATTCTTCAGAGACTCCACAAAGTGTATATACTCTTGATCCGCATAAAATTCGGAGTCGATTTAAGCATGCCCATCTGTCCGTCTCGCACGCAGGTTGGTACAGCAATTCGCGTTAATCGGCTGAACGACGAGACTGCAGGACTACGTAAAGTGAAAACGTCTCTGTTTTTCAAGAGGAATAAATGTTTTTTGCTCATTAGTCATAAACTGCATCACTACTATATTGTATTATATATAAATTTTTAACCAGTTTCAAATTCGAAATGCGTCATCTGTCCGTCTATCCGTCTGCGCAACTGTGTACTATCCGGGGTAAGCATTGTCCTGTTCGCAAAAATGAAAACATCACCTAGCAACTTGCAGGCGAATTTGAAAATCGCCCAAACTTTTCAAAGAACTCGCCTACAACGCGCCCACACATCTATACAGCAAAAGTTGTAAACGTTCTCTCTGTATTTTGCTAATGTACACCATATAAATTTCAACCTTTATGCTGAAAATAGAAAAAGGTAGTCGGGCCTATCTAATGTTGCAGAATATGAAAATTTTACTTTTTTCTTTTTTTAGGATGGGTATAAAAGGTTCGCTTATGACCGAATATAATTTTCTTAATTGTTTCTTTTACCTTTTTGAGAAGTTGACATGAGACCGCCTGATAATGCGTAATTGTAAAAACTGACTCAGGATGAATGGAAAGTCGTTGAATATTGTGCTGTCATGGGTTTACAGTCACTTACAGTTTGAGCGTATTTGCAAAGGCATCTTCACTATACGTTTTAATCGTCAAACGTTACAGATAAAAACTAAAAACGGTTCAATTCATCATCACATTTACCCCTTTAGAACATAAGAAGAAATACAATAAGTATAGAGCGATAAATTCAAATTAAGATAAATAAAAATTTTGGTTAAAACCGGAAATTCTTTGATTTCATTTTCAAAATTTTATTCAGTTTTTTTTTTTTTAGGAAAAATAGCCACTAACTAATAAATGACGTCACGTATGCCCAGTCAAGCAAATATTATTCTCCTGTAACGTTCTTAGTTGGAATAAAGGGGAAAAAAGAAAAAGGAAAGGAAAGTCGATATTTTTTTTAAAAGAATTTTGCTTTTCTTTCCAATTTGAAATCAAAAATCGATTGTCAAGTGTTTATTGGATAATGTCAGATGTCACACGTAGAATTTCACAAATCTCTTCTTTTCTCACTTCTTTTATTTTTTTCTTTGCTCCCTTATATCGCTCTATGCTTTTATCATATTTCTCGGTAACATTCTTATTACTAGACAACGTCTTCTACCCTGCTCTCATTCTGTTCTATCACGTATGCTTTTTGTTATTATTGTCTTTGCAGATATTACAAGATATGATGGTGGAAATCGACTATGATGCCGATGGCACGGTTTCTTTAGACGAATGGCAACGAGGTGGTATGACAACTATACCGTTACTGGTACTATTGGGTAAGAGCCGTGATATATATCAGAAAAGAGTTTGTGTTAACAAACCGTTGATTGCTTCGCAAGTGACTTTTGAGTAAATACATGCAGTCATCTGCACACCTAGCCGTTGTAGTATACACGCATGCACACACACACACACACTCCCATACAAAATTGTGGATGAGACATGAGACTCAGACATATATGTTTGCTTAGCAACTTTAAAGTTCAAGTGTTAGCGAAGAGCAAATATTCTATGAAACACAACTGCTATACTATAAAGATGTTGTTGTTGTTGTTGTTATCTCACAACAACACTCTAATGACATTTTGCACCTATTTTTGACATTTTTCGATTTCTATATACATACAAGCGTAACTGTAAAGTGCCTGGTAGTCGAAACAGCGCGAGCTGGTGTGTGTATGTTTCACTTAAATTTGTCTATTTAAAGCCGGAAGCTGCAGTCATTTCTCTCCTTCTGCTTTTCTTTTTCTCCTCCGTTTTACTCTCTTTTTCTATCATACTTACTTACTATTCTAACCTAAAAATTGCTTAAACCAAATATATTCAAGCTTATGTCAAAACCTGTCATAATGCATGTCAATGCGCACACGCTCACATACACACACTATACGCATACCCATGCATTTATTCTGCCTCTTTTGCTTACATTAATGTCGTAAATTGTGTGCTTTACCTTTGACAAAAAAAAAAAAACAAAGAAAAAAAGGATGAATTCTCAACGCATATATGTGTGCTTCATTATTTAAATTTACATACCTTTTGCTCTTCTTCTTCTTGTTGTTCATATTTTACTTTTTCTATTCCTTGTTTAATTATCAATAATATGCAGGTGTCGATAGCACTGCTCTAAAGGAAGATGGCATACACGTCTGGCGTTTAAAACATTTCAAGAAACCCGCATATTGTAATTTATGCCTCAATATGTTAGTGGGTCTAGGCAAAAAGGGTCTCTGCTGTGTGTGTAAGTAGAAACAAAAAATGTTTTTGATTATTTGCATACGTGCTTGAACGCAAGGGAGCACAAACGAAAATTATTTAAATAAGTTTAAAGCGGTATAGCTGAGCTGGTAACAAAATGTTTCACTTATTTTTCGATATAAAATAACAAACAATAACAAGCAACTTAAACGAATACATAAACTTTTAATTTCCTTCAGTCTTAATTTGTACTTGTTCGCTTTGCAAAAAGTTTCGCGTCTTTTTTCGTTTCATTCATACACGCGGGTAACATACATGTCCCTTTACTACTAAACGAAACGAAATTGTTTCCTTATGAAAGCAAATTTTGCGTTTTTTCACCTTTATATGGTCGTTCCATGCCAAATAGGCATATCGAGATGAACGAATCCCGTTTAGGATACACTCCGATGATAAGCCATTTATAAAGACCAGCCGAAGGTTTCAGAAAGCGAACATTTTCAAAGTCATCTTATACGCTGTCGTCTGAGAGGATATTCTTAGTTTGAGAAGCACTTTTCAGTATTTCAAAAGAAACTCTCCGTCAACAAAGTCAACAGAAATAGTCGCCTTTTAAGATTCACTCATTTTAAAAATTTCCCAAGAGACCTCTCGTTCAATGGGAAAGATAACTGACTGTAGATGGTTTATTTAGGTTTCGGCTTTGAAGCCGTAAGCCCACAATGCTCGATAACGCATATAGCGGGAGAAATGCTTCTTATCACACATGGACGTCCCAATCCCCCCTTCTGGCGAGCCTTATCTCTGCCTTTCTATGGGTCAAGCATCCGATTGGATTACTACTCCCTACCGAGCAAGCGTTCATCTCGCGGTTTGGACCAAGCATACCCTCCGCCAAATCCGTTATAGTCTATAGTGGTACGAAAGTACGACTTACTACGGTGCTATTGTGCGTAATGCTTCTTAAGGTATTTCACGTCGTTTTACACTCCAATGTGTTTCATTTTTTCGAGACATCCTATTCACTTTGCCACTGTTAGTCACCTTTTTAATTCGGATTGCTGTCTTCATGCATGTGATATTTAAAATTTTTTCCGAGCACTGAATACGTGGAAATTGCCGAGAAAGAAAAGAAGGCTTCCTTTAGTCAGAGTCATTAATACAATTCTTAATACAAAATGATTGCTGCCTGTCGATGCTTAATGAAACATCATAAAGCCGGTAAAGACAACGTTAAAAGTACTAAGCTGCGATGAACAACTCTCTTAGTGGTAGTGTATTTAAAAAAATTCCTACTCCAATCTAATACTTTTCAGTCGTTTTTTCGGGTTATATTGAAAATTGCATTTGTGTTTTTTATGTAAGAATTTTTTTTAAATGGTTTTAAAGGGTTTTATTTTTTTTTGAATAGGTCTCGACCTTACAATTAGTATTATAGGTAGCTGGTCGCTCTTACCTCCTTCCAAATACCTCTCGGTGTACTATCTGATTAGCAGCATTTCCGATACGTGTCCTGTATGAGTCTCTGCAAAGTAAATCTCGATTTAACTTTTCTTCAATGAAAAATGCGAGTAGTTGCAGCTCATTAGCTTTGCTGCTCCGCATAAAAAATATTGAAAACAAAAAAAATATATTTGACAGTAAAATCTGTTTATATATGATATGGGACATGCGTAAGATTCAGTTTCGTTCTCCACAAAAGTATTTTTTAACCATTTTTCTCACTGTCAATATTTTTGTTATAAAGAATTATTGTACCCTACAGCATTTATGGCGTAAAGGTGTATTAAGTGCGTTCGGATGTGTGCGACATCCGGAGGAAGTTTAAGCTGATCAACTTTTCATTACACCGCTTAATTCAGAAAATGACCTTAAAAGCGATTCGGAAGGTGTCTTAGTTTGTCTTTGCGCCCGTCTGTCTGTCCATCTGTTATTTCGTGTTCAACCTACAGGGGGCAATTTTTTAGGATACTTTCATAAAATTTGGCACACCTACGCGATTTGAGCCAAACACAAATGCTACTGAAAATAGTTCCCATCGAACTTATTTATGTAACGCATTATTTTGAAATGTCGTTGTATGAATAACCGTGTTAAGCAATATGATGTAAGGCAATCAATGGTGGCCCTGTACCTACCTATAAGGTATTTGTTTGTTAAATTTAACTTATTATCACTTCTATGCGAGCACTTTAAGTAGTAGCTTATCTTAGTCATGCCGTCCCAGATGTGTAGCACGTAAATAAATGCAAGGTTGTTTAACTCCTACTTTAGTTGATTTGTTTACTTTTGCAAATTCTGTCTTTAGTGTAACAGGATTTGTGGCAACACCTTGTAGGTGTACAATTACTGCAATAATAACGACAAACAGCAAGAATAATAACAATAAATCATTTAGCGATGATATCTTGAAATCGTCTTAAAAGCTTAACATCTTAGAACATTTAATATTACATTCGTTTGCTGCTCCCCTCCTCCCTTTATCTTTAAATTTTGTTTAATTCTTCATAATCTATATAAAATTAATTGCAAACTAAGTAAACAAACAACAATAATAACAAAAACTTGTTTGTTGTAAGTGCGTAAGTCCGTCAATATAATTAGGATTAAAAACGAATACGAATACGAACTTTTTTTTTTCAAATCTCACCTGCATTCTCCTTTAATTCCTTTTGTTGTTTTTTCTTGTTTTTTTCTTTCGTATTTCTTGTTACTATAGTGTGTAAATACACAGTGCATGAGCGCTGCGTACAGCATGCCCCAGCATCTTGTATAACAACGTACGTCAAATCGAAAAAGGTAAAGGGCGGTGGTGGCGATCTACTACATCATTGGGTTGAGGGTAACTGTTACGGACACTGTTCGAAATGTCGCAAACGTATTAAAGCGTATCATGGCATAACGGGACTAAATTGCGTTTGGTGTCATATGATGGTAAGCATCGTTGCATGCTTCAATACTTACGTAAATTCAAGAGATTCGTATACAATTTTCTTTAAACAATTACGTCAATTCATCTTAAAGCTAGTAGCGAACTATACGCGTATAAGTGCATGTATCTAAAATATACCTAATAAGCTCCTTACATATAAGTCAAAATTTATAGAGTTATGCTTATAACGAAAACGCTTAAAAATGCAAGAATAGAAAAAAAAGAAGAGACTTATAAAAATGTAAGCGTAAATTCGTTGTTTGTCTTTTTCTATTTATGTTGCGTCTCTTTGCTTCATTCCTTTCGCAGCAATGTTGCGCAGAATTCAGAATTTTTTTTTTGACAAATAGCTTCACTTCGTAGCAAAGAAAACAAAAAGCCTTGAAATGAATTTATAAACTTCCGTTTGAGAGAATTTTTCTTCAAAGAATTTTCGGTGCAACTTTCCGAAAGTAATATTTTATTCTTTCTAATCCTCAGACAAAGAGTTTTTATAATTTATAAAATAATGACTAAGTGACAGCAAATTTGGTTTCGTCTTTCCATTCTTCAGCAAAAACGGTTTATAAAATGCTTTGAACAAAATCAAAATAAATAAAAACTCGTCTCGCACATTGAATGGCATCTTTCCGAATGGCATTGCCTTGTGATAGATCGCAATACATGTAAAAATTGCGAGCCATTTTTAAACAAAGTATTTTTATAGCTCTGTTGAATCAACATGATGGAGGGTACAAATTAAGGGAGAAAACTTATTGAATTGCTTTACAATGCTATTTTATAACATACAGGCGGACGGTTATCTAAAAGATAGGGGGCGACAAACAGATGGCACGAACAGAAGAGCATTTCACACCCCTGGATGAAAAAGAAAATTATTAATTTTCAATTGATCTTTAGTGCATTTACAATGAGAGTGAAATCACGCAAATAATCACGATTTTAGTTATATGAAAACGCTCAGAGTTAATCATCAAAGTTAAAATTGTAACTTCATTGAAATGACCTTCAAATCAAAGACTTCTCCTGTTCGCTTATGTAGCAAATTAATTCACGATCTGACAGCATTGAAAATTGTCAAGGCTGCGCCATAACTCTTTTTTAATGAGAAAATGGGCGTGATTACGTAATAGGTACAGTAATTAAAAAGTCAGTATAATAGATTAGCAGGATATGAAATGTTTTAACAGGGGATTTCATTTTGAATACAATGATGATGAGCCGTAAATTCGTGTGCTATGAAGTGAGCCCGTGCTGCGTTGTCTCCAGATCAGTAGCCTCAATCTCACGACAGAAAAGTCAATCATTACTGCAGCGTCATAGTGCAGCCATTCACTACAACATTGTAATCAGTACTGTAGCTGATTCCGGATACTCGAGTAGATAACAGCCGCGACAACCGAATTGAATTTGTTTTATTTAATTTTGTTTCTTTAATTTTTTGAAAAGCACAACATTAGAAAGAACAAGTAAGATGGTTATATTCAGTTGGGGGGCCAAATCTCCACAAATCTCGCTTATCCACCACCATTGAAATCTTTGGCGCTTCAATGGGAAAGAATTTATATTTTACCCTTTAGTTCACTAAAAAAATGTAGTCTATCACCTCGTGACGTCCACCATTAATAATTTTGAATTAACGCACCTAGCTTTTCGCATTCTGCTTTTCAAATCCTTCCATGTGATACCCATATCAATGTTATTGTAACGAAATAATTAATCCACTACGTCGTGTCGCCCACCATAATCAATTTAAAATCAATTTAAATTTAATTTATTTGATACCGATATCGCTGGTATTGGTAAGAATAAATTAATCCACCGGGCCATGGTCTCCATCATATTTATTTTAAAATTAGCACACTGCTAGGCAGATAATATATCTTGATTTGAGAAATGTAGTTTTAAATATTCTGTCTTGTCTACCGTACGGTCGATAAGCATAAAACCTCCAAAAAGTGAAAAAAAAAAATTTAATCGCTTATAACTTTGTGTAAAGATGGCTGATTTTTTTAATTCTACATAAATAGTATAATTTTTCGAGCTGTCTGTCTATTATAATATGCGAGTGATGAGCAAGAAATCACAAATTTTTTTTAGAAAAACGGAGTTGGTATTCAATTTACGCTTAATTACGGATTTCCGCTCTGGACAATTTGACCCATTTTTAATACCAACGTGCGTGCAAAGACTTCCAATGTTTATGCCTAGTTTCCAGTCGATATCTTTATTTTTGCGACCACGAGAATCGCAACAATACAAACACCACAGACGGACGGACATGGCTTAATCGATTCAGATTTTCATGTTAACCAAGAATATATATACTTGTGGAGTCTTTGAAGTTTTCTTTTCAGTGTTGTCGACATTATGACAAAATGATTATACCGTCATCTTTCAAATACAAAAATAGAATTTTGAGCCGAAGGATGAGGCCTAATGAAACCTAAATAAACAGTTTGGCACTGAAAGGCTGAATAGAAGAAGTTAAGAAAAACGTATCCTAAATTTGCTCTAAAGCGCAAACAATTTTATACATTTTTATTTTTGTCTTATATCCTTAATCACAAGGATGCACTTTTTCCAATTATCCCTTACTTTTTTTTTCTCTTGCTTCGCTTTCGCTTTTTTTCAATGAAATTCTATCTTTTGTTCTGACAGTAATCAATATTTTTTGGTTTTTTTCCATTTGGAAAAATGAAAAAGTATCAATGCTTTACCCCAAATTATTTAACGTTACACATACCACATAACACGGAGAAACGTTTGCGCACCGGCGCTTACACGTTTATATCACTAAATACACAAAGACTTTAGTTGGAGTAGTTTGAAGAACAAGTGAATAAATAAAATAAAACAATTTACGTAAACATGATGTAAAGGAAAATAAAAATATTCTCACACACAAAGCCCTTTAAATTCCTTTCTTTGCATGTGTGTGTGTGTGTGTGTCTGTGTCTGTGTGTTGTTTTGTATCGCATTACTTACTGTTGTGAAAATATTTTTGCATAAATATTTCGTTACTATTATTTCAAACAAAGTTACGTACATGTGGTACATTTGTACTCATTTCGGAAAGTTGCAGTTGCTTCCAAATGCTGTTTACATTGCGTATGCGAGCGAGTATTATTAGCATGATATCACTCATACGCAACGCACCATAAAATGCAAAATTCAAAAGTATTTTATGTATATATACATGTATTTACTAAAAACATGTTCACTAACACGATACACACGCACGCTTACGAGATATGTGTGCCCGATAAAGACAACGATTACAGAAATTTTTTTTATTTTTTTTTAAAACGAGTCGAAAGAAAGCAAAAGAAAAATATATCTATACTTAAGATTTAAATTGAAAGAGAAAAAATTTATATGCATTCTATTCACAAAAGTCTTTGTCTCAAATGTCAGGCTATATGGATGGCAATTACGACAAATAGTCAGTTTGAAGGTGAAAAACGTGCAAAAAGCCCGCTTCGAATTCTTTTTTTGATACGTGACATGTCATGTGACAAACATAAGTCAATTCTTCCGCAAACACACAACCTTTGCTTTCGGGTGTTCATCAAGATACAGTACGGCAATCAAAAAATAAGGGGAGTTTTTCACTTACACTTCACAGGTTCTATGAAATCATAAAATTTTTTTTTTTTTTTGTACGGGTTGGTACTACTTGCCATAAGTAGTTATGTCAATATGTTTAATTACTGCATAGATACAAGTGTCTTTTTTAACACACAAAAACTAGCTTTTCAGTCTTAATTATGAAATCCGAAGTATTTATCCTAAATATTGATGACGCAGAGATATTGAGAATATTACATAAGACCTTTGGTAATAAAACTATATCGGAAAAAAATATTTGCAAGTGTCCGCGGGCGACCGTGCACTTTGCTAATGTTGTGGGAATTTCATCTGCCTGAAGCTATCTTTCTAAAGGCGCGAGAATAATGAACGCACATTTCTTTGTAATTGCAACAGGCTGCACTGATTCTTTGTCATCATTTCATCAAAAACGCGGCCTATATGATTTCACAACCATCACATTTGTCTGATTTTGTGCCGTTTGATGTCTGGCTTTTCAACGAACTCTAAAGGCAATGACAGAGTTACCGCTACGGCTTGACTGAGAAAATATGAGATGAATTCAGGGAAGCATTTGAAGTCATACCGAAAGAAGATTTCTTTGACTGTTCCAAGGATTTTGAGTTAGCGTGATGTTTTAAAGGGGGCGGTAAAATCGATTTCGAAAGAATTAGTGAAATTTTTTCATTTTATAAACAAATTCATCTTATTTTTTGATCACATATAGCATGTGTCGCTCATGTACAAGACTAAATACCAAAGGTCCAAGAGAGTAGTATTTTTCAAATCCATTTGAATTTAAAAATTTCTTTGCTTGGGGCATTGGTTGAAGAAAAAGAAGAAATTCATGATACTATGACAAAATTTAGCCAAGGAGTCATAGCAACGCTAAAGACTTAAACATGCAGTCATCAAGACCGTTCGAAAAACAAATGATAATAATTGTGCCACGTAAATTACAGAAAAACACATGAAAACATTAAACTCGGGCAAGATCGATCATTATCCGACCCGCTTTTCCTTATAGCCAGGCTAAATTCATCACAAGATACTTTACAACATTTTTGTTTAATACGATCGCTCACAAATGCTCATTAGAAAATACCAGGAATTAAATCTTGTTGCTATACAAAGCCTTATCTTTCATTAGAGCCGTAGCAAACCCTAATCGATGTGGTCCAAATGTAACGAGACACTTTTTCTTTCTTATATATCCTATTATCCTCGCCTGTTTACGTTTTAAGATACCAAAAATTCAACTTTCTTACAAAATAAAGTCTTACGTGTCATAAAAGCATTTATTTTGGAAGAAGTTCAAAAAATTGGCTGAATTTAGTTTAAATTCAGCATAGGAAGTTTTTATGCCAAACCGTGTTATGGTCCAATTTTCATCGTTAAACACTCAAAACTCAACTAAAAGTTTATTTTGGAAGAATATTAATACAAAAGGGCTTACAAAAGTGGAGTCATCCCATCCCAAATTTTGTACATTCATTTAATTTTACAATTTTTCTCTCATTTTTACCAAGAGTTTCCGAAAAGTTAGGCACACGCCCACTAGGCTGCGGCCACCACCTTTCCCCACTTCTTTCTCTTTCCTTTCTTCTTTGTGACGGTCATCGTATTACACGAATACGGACGTTCCCTGATTCGTCTTATATAAAAAAAAGTCTAAGAAGTGGTGCGATTCGCTCCACTTTCAATAGAATTCATAGATGGCTCAAGATATGCGAATGTACAAAACTCATCAAAATATCTCGGAAATTGCGATTTATAGTCTTAATATGATAATATATGAGTGGAAATGAGACGGCCGATTGGCCCGACAAGCTTGAATTGATTCAGAAAATTAACTTGAATTAACTTGTAACATGTACATGACATATTCACTGCAAATTAACGAACTCGAAATATTTATGAAGTGCTTGGTAAGTGGTAGATGAGAAGTAGATAGCGGCAATGGCATGTCTCTCCACTAGTTCTATTAATATGAACAACTATGTATCAACTTTGTACCAAACAAGAAAGTGCATAATAAATCGCAACCCCTATCCGCCTTCCAACCTCTCGTAGTCCCGATAAGCGAGCTTTCGAAACTACGATTGCACGTAGAAATTAAAAAAAAAACGAACAGAATTACTTGACAGAAACTGTAACGAATATCACTCTGGTAGCGTTAGACCATAAAAATCTAAAAGGATTTTTAAAAAACTGGAAGAACTTACTTTTAATGTATCGAGTTTTTAATATTTCCCTCCGGGTCTTAAGTTAGTTCCAAGAATGCCACATACAACACAATTTTTGATCAGAAAGTTGATTGGCTTATGGTTTCATGATTTTTTTTATAATACAATTGAAAAACAACATAAAGCCTTTTTGAAAGTTTCAATACTTTTTAAAAATCTTATTATTCGCGAAAATTTTTCTTTTTTACAATTTGGATAGAAATTAGGAAACATTTTTTTCTCACCACTTTCGTTGTTGCGCCATTTTAAATACTTTTCGCTTTAATATCCTGATATAAGCTGCTTAACTGAACTTCATCACATTATAACATTAACATATACTGAAGCTTTACTCATACCACCATCCTACATAGAAATAAGTTTAGAAAAAGTAAACAAAAAAAAAACAAATAAATACATGATAAGAGGCAATCACTCATGATAAAGTGCCCTACATTACCCTATAGTTGTCCATATAACGACTTTTTCAAATGAAGGCGTTATGTGGAAAGTGGTATAAAAACTGGTCCGATTCAAACTATTCCCGACAGCCAAACCGTATCAAGCTTCGTCGATATGCCTTAATTTCTTGCACAGCAAGAGAGAAGAACAAGTTTACGTCAATTCAGAAAGCGATTCTGAATAGACCGCTATGATGACGCAACTCCTTCTAAGCGTTAATATATCCCTGTACCACCACACAGGTAGTATAGGGAATAAAAATTGATTTAAAAACATTCTGATATAAATTTTGAACTTTTTTATATGAATTTTTTCATTAACACAAGCTCCATAATCGCTGTGCATCGTCGGTGAAAAAAGAATGCACTCTCGGAGAATTTGCTGAGTTAATTGTACCTCCTACAGCTATATGCCCGGCAGTCTTAGATCGTCAACGTTCAATAAATCAAACGAATAAGGTGAGTTTCTCGCTTGTCTTCTTCTTCTTTTTCTTCTTCTTCTTATTGTTGCGCTATTAATTGATTCTTTTTAATTTTAATATTAATTACTACCACAAATGTATTGGCTTATAACTCGAAATTCCCTGCCTCGCAAATGCTTTATCAAATTTAAAAAAAAAAAAAATTTATAAAAAATGTAAAAAAAAATTATAAATAGAAATCTCAACACCATCAGGCCACACACTTTCAAATTACGTCAATCGATGACAGGAATTGTCCTCTCTTGGTATTTGTCAATCCAAAAAGTGGTGGACGTCAAGGCGATCGCATATTACGCAAATTCCAATATATGCTTAATCCACGCCAAATTTATGATTTATCGAAAGGCGGCCCGAAAGAAGGTAAATGAAAACAAAAAACAATTATGTTGAACTTAAGCCAAATTCTTAATCGATTGATTGCCAATAGTTTTGATTACAACATTTGACTTTGAAAAGAAACAAAAAAAAACAAAGCAGAAACGAAGATTCATTCGAGTAAATCTGGAAAAGTATTCCATCACAAACTTTTATATGAGCTTGTATCATTTTTATCAGGCAGACATCGCGGCGGTACTCGCACACAGTTCATCTTAATCATCTTTCTTTTAAAAGCTCTAAGTGAAAGCTTGAAAATTTTGAGACAAAAATTTAATAGAGACAAGAGTGACGAGTTTTTAGTTGATTGTAAAATTCACTAATAGACTCTAAAAATCTTAGCCACTTTTCGGCTCCATCAGACATATTTTGAGGGCGAAAAGTACAGCGGAAATTTCGTTTTCTTGTTTAAGTCGACGAAAACTGAATACGTATGTATACCTTACGAATTTTACGCAAATTTTGCCTACGAAATACACTTTTCAGGACTTGTACGAATAATGATCACTTTCTAGCAATATCGCGAATGTTCTTTAAAGCAGATCTATTGGATATCAGGAGCATTACTTTTAACTTGGTTGTTTCAAATCAAAACTCTTTTAACTGATTAATCTTTGCGATTAAAAGAACAGATTAAAAACCTCTATCTCAAGGAACTTCCGCGTCGCCTCATTTCGTTTGTTTATTAAATGTGAAGCAATTTTTTTTTGGCCAAAATATTATCGAAGTTTAAAATTCAATCTTTGTGATGTATATGAAGGAAATTCGAAACCTTATCCGCCTAATATTAAACACGAAAATCGTAATTATAGATCGGCAAGAAGCATTTTTTTAGCAGATTTCAATTGATTTTTTATTTATTTATTTTTTCCTAATACTCCACAATAACCCTTAACACTTCGGGCTAAGGATGAACCGTTAAAGAACGAGCTAGTAAGAATGAGTTGAATCGGACCATTTTTATCATCACTTTTCATATGAAAACTTTTTTATATGAAGAGAAGTAAAAACATTATAGTCAAGCAAGGACGCTATTAAGCACGCTACGTCAATGTCAGTTGTGATAATAATAGACCAAAAATTAAATGTTATTTTAATGCAAAGGAATAATTTGTATGAAAGCCCGCGAATTGGGGGATGCCCAAAGCACCATGTTACTTGATCAAAATTTACCAAACTTTATTTATTTCCCAGAAATTTTATTATTTTTCAGTTTTCATAGTCACAGAAAGTATACAAATTATACTTTGTCTCCATATAGGGACCCACTTTCATGTTAACCATTAGCACCTAAAAAATAGACCTAGGTGATCCAAGTTGCCTATTGCCATTATTTGTTTATTTTGCCGTTATAAAACATTAACAATTGAACCCGTTTCTGGTGCACTTATTTTTATGTCCAATTAATACCATTGTCAAATTTTTATCATAAAACATTAACAATTAGACTTTTTTGGCTTTTAAGGGTTTACATTTCCTGGCAATCCTTATATATGGTGATATGCAAACAATAGCTCTACAATGCCCGAATCCGGCATACCTGATTTCTTTCTCAAGTAACTATTCTGGGTCAACGAAATATTGAAAATTAGACCTTTTTATCATATAAAGAGTTCGTTTTCGTAGGAGGAGTTCAAAAAACTGCCTCACTCCGTCCAAAGTTTTTACGCCCAAATACTATTACTTAGCCATTTTTGTCGAGAAATTTTGAAAAATGCAATTTATTCCATATAATGACTTTTCACGTTAGGGCGTCCTACGGGGAGTTGTTGAAAAGGTGAACCGATCCAAATCATTTAAAACAGTGTTTGTCGTTGAGTCGAAGATGTCAGTGTAGCAAATTTTATTAAGACGTCTTACAAATATCGATGTGTAGGTTGAAACAAAATACATGGACAGGAATCAGACGGACAAACAGCCCAATAAACAGCCTCGTACAACGAGTGATTGTTGAAAAATTGTGTGTTTCGACAGCAAATGAACTTTTTGTGGGATTGGTCCAGCTCCTCTAATGGAAAAAGGTCTAATTTTGAATACTGGATGACAACTGTACAGTGTATAAGTTAAACGAAAGCGGCATGTTATAACCCATAAAAGGGAAAGGGGTGTATATTTACAACAACCGTCGTCCGATCCGAACCATTATCAATACCATTTACAAGAATAAGGCACGAACAGACGGGCAGACGAACGGAAAATCTTAGCTCAGAATCACTTTCTGAATCGATCGATATAATAACAATTCAATTCAGGTTAAGTTGTTTTGGACGTTGCGTACTTCGACACAAACTTAGTACACACTTGTGCACCAAATGATAGTGGGGTATAAAACGAAGCCTAAATTATAATATTTTAGGATGAAAATCTCTCAAGAGCAGTGACTTGACATACAAATTCCCTAAACTTGCCTAAATTTCGATATAATAAATTCCTTATAGGAACTCTTGTCGAAAATAAGCTTTTCTTCGTACGACAAAAAGATTTAAATTTTTCGTATTTTTTAGTGAAAATACAAAAGCTGAACGATAATAAGTGCTTTGACACGAAAAATGAATTTTACTAAATTTGGACCGCACAGATTTACACATTTTGGGTTCCCTCCAATATAAGGTTTTTTTTTATAAATTAAAGCAAGAATTAAAGAGTGTGATGGTGTGTAGAGGTTGGATTTTATTTGTACCGCCTCGCTAACCCAGTTACACTCACAAACAAAAGTGACGTATATAAAAATGATAAATAACTAAGGGCGTGTCTTGTCTAGCTGTCTCATAGTCCGTTAGTATTGTTCTTTTGTCCGTTAGGCCACACCTATGTATCTCTTGGTCCGTTACGTCAATGTCTACAGTTCCATTTCTACACACACACACACACACACACACACACACACACACATCGTCGCGAACCTATTAGATATATAATTCATCATTTATGTCATATTTTCCCGTTTTTTTTCACTATTCTTAAAACTAATACGCTTTACTCCTTTCTTGATGTGAACCTTGCATTCTGGTACAGCCACAACATCACCGTAATCCGTTTCGGTAAAATCTTCCAGGGTTTCAATCTAATGACATCATCTATAACCGACAGCAAATGCCAAGCCTACATTTGGAGCTATATTCAAACGCTTGAATGATTGTTTTTTTTTTTTCTTGATTTAATTTTTTTCATTTTATTTGTTGTCACAATGCTATATTATATTAATTTATACGGACGTTAAAGCACGTTTTAAAAGACCATGTTCTTGTTTGAATCTCACACCAAGATATTTAAACACTATTTTCACAAAGTTATTTCATATTTGTCCTTAATAGCTAAAGTTTTAAAGTTTTTTATTTTTTTTTTAATTTCGAAAATTTATTGACAATTATAGTAATGGTGATCTCTGCACATTTTTATACTCGTACATTAAACGAGCTTTTATCGTTAACGTTTATCCATTATTTCGTTTCTACCGATTTATATTTTTGTTTTATGCAAAATTTCGCAGGCTTTGACAAAATTTCCATTTAATTGCCCATATTTAGATTTCTTAATCTTGTTTTTATTTTCTCTCATTTCTGTTGGTCACCACTCACACCTGCTGGCTCGCTTCCTGCCGCCAAAAAGTTTTTCCTTTTCTGCCTACGTCCAACCTCACGCGATGATCAACTCCGACTCTCACAATAATTTTATTTAAAAAAACCTACCCTCATGCTATGCAGACGGACTTCGGACTTTGCTCCCTTTTCATAATTCTCTCCCTAAACAGTGCTACTATATGAGCGGAGAACTATGAAAACAGATCTTAATTAACGGAATTCCGTTATTATGAATAACTCTACTCAGTTTGTGAATAGCAGGGACAAAGCCGACCGACGGAAACCCCCTTCACATCGCTTAGTAATAGACGATTTACCTTGGTTAAATGTTAACTTCCTTTTTATATATTACGGGCAATATAGTTATTTATTGACAAAAAAAAAGAAATCAAAATTATTTTTAAAAATTTCTTATCAAAAGCACATTTTTTAATATTAATTTTCTTCGCTATTTTTGCAAATAAATAACCAGGTCTTACTCTATTTAAGGATTTGCCAAATTTTAAAGTTATTTGCTGTGGCGGCGATGGTACTGTAGGCTGGGTATTAGAAGCTATGGGTAAATATATCAGAAATTACTTTTAAATCTAAGTTTTATTGATAATCGAAACCAAAAATTTATGATTTTATGGTTGCTATTAAACAATTTCAGATAGCATCGAGTTGAAAAGTCAACCTGCCATCGGAGTAATACCGCTGGGAACTGGCAATGACTTGGCTCGATGTTTACGCTGGGGCGGCGGTTATGAGGGTGAAAACATTCCAAAATTGTTGGATAAAATCAAAAGGTCGACTATTGTTATGCTTGATAGATGGAGTATTGAAGTAATAAATAATCCTGAAGAGCAGATAAAACCAAAGGTTAGTGGATTTTGTTTTTAGGGCATACAATACATAGATATTGCAGATATTTGGACCTTATTGCACCTATCACAAAGGGGTAAGTTACTCTTACGTCCGTAGTTAAGTTCGATTGTGACATAAGAATTATTACTGATTGGTTTGAGGTGATGGGTATCGACGATTCGTATTACTGTGAGAGAACTTCAGAGACTCCACAAATATATAATATATTTTTGATCAGCATTATATGCTGTCTAGCTTAAGCATGTCCGTCTGTGCATCTGTCCAGTTGTTTGTCAGTGCATTGTGCGTTGTAAGCATTCTCTTGGCCGCAAAAAAAGTCAAATCTGGCGGAAACATGGAAACTTTGTGCACGCGCAATCATATTGAAAATAAGGTAAATCGGTAAAAGGATCCGCCCGCAGCACCACGTAAACTGAGAACACTTCTGTGTTTCAAAGGTATAGAAAATGGGATTTTGCTCATTAGTCATAAACCACAGCAGATAAATGTATAAAAAGTTGACTGTACATTCTATGGGCAATGTTGTAGTACCGGTACAAATATGGGAATAAAACAGCCACGTCTAGTTAATTTTATAATTGTATATTGTAAATTTATATTTGTTTCAAAACTAACACACAGAAACAAACCGAAGACCCCATAAAGTATATAAATTCTTGGACACCTCCAAATTCGGAATGCGCCTAAGCTCGTCTGCCCATTCAGCCGTCCATTTATGCCTTTGCCCAACCATATATCATCTGTGGTAGACATTCACTCATTCACAAAAATGATGATGTCGGTTACAAACTTGCAAAACAATATGAAAACGACCCAAAGTTATCGGAGAAAACGCTTATAACGCCCACACGTCTATGTGACAAAAACTAGGAGCAGCTTTCGTTCCGCGTTTTTCATTACTACTCATCAGGTACATCACGTACACCATATAAATTTCCAACAGAAAACAGAAAAAATGGACCGCACCCACCTAATATTATAGAATAGGAAAATGTGCCTCTTTTTTCTTTTAAGATGTGTATAAAAGATTCGGTTACTACCGAATACAATTTCCTTACCTCTTTTGTTTGCTTATGTTTATTATCAATCACTCCTCGGTGAAACTTACCTTGATCTGCTTTTATGCTTGCAAAACAGGTGACATTACATTCAAATATGCAGAAAGTGATTGAATTATCACAAAGTGTGGTAGTGGGAGAGAAGACGTTATTGGAGCAACATGAACAAGGACATCGTTGCAGCAGCTGGAATGTACAACTTTTTGAAACTGAAACAAATAACAAAATCATAGCAACAACAGTCTCATCTTCAATCAATGCTAATGAAAGTCCTCCTCAGTTTTCAATCAAATCGATATATGATAAACAGATGGCTACTGATTTATTGGCTGCCACATCATCATCATCTGCATTGACAGCAACAACAATGGCAACAGCATCGACAGCAACAACAACATACCGGACTACAACGAAAAGCATATCAATGTCAACATTTGAAATGAAACGTTCGCAACAATATCCCCAACAAGAGTACAATCTCCGACAGGACTCAACAGCAATCAGTAAATGCAATAGTCTTAGCAGTACTTGCACTAGTAGTACAAATAGCGCAGAACAACAACAACAACATCAGCAGCAGCAGGAACAACAACAACGGCAGTCATGTACAACATTACTTGATGTCATTAATACATCTTCGCTATTGAAGCAAACTAACTCAACCGATACCGATTTCATACGAAATAAAAATCTACAGGAGCGTCATATGATAGTTGATAGTATAGATCCATCTAAACACTTCAGTGTCGGCGATAATAACAACGATGCTTCGAATGATTGCTGTCACAAATCTTTAAGTGTTGCGCCCATTGCAGCGAAACAAGAAATACGAACATCGACTACTTTGCCAACCCCACTTTGCCATACCAGTGGTAATAGTAACGACGGTTTTGTGGCAACAGAAATTGAGTGCATTCCACGCAATAATAATAACCGCAGCAGTAGCTTAAGCAGTATCGCAAACGTGAAATTATCACCAAGTCACTTATGCTCATTGCAAGCGTCTCCTGTACATACACCTACAACTAACGTAGCGATGGAGATGGAAAAGTCATTTAACATTCCACTACCAACAACAGCAACAACTAGCAATAAAGTTGAAAATGGAAAAGATTGCACTGTACCGTATAATATTATAAATAATTATTTCTCTGTCGGTGTGGTAAGTTAATAAAAATTTATCCTAAATTGTTTTGGTTTTTTTTTTCTTCATGGTCTTAATTGCTTGCAATTATTAATTTTCATATATGCATACAATTTGAATATCTAAACATATACTCATAGATGTACGGTTTGAATATCTGATACAAATCTACTTATAATCTTAATTTTTTCTCAAAGAAAATGCCTCCACATAGTTGCCTCAACGATAAAACTTAACTTAAATTATTGTTCCATTGTTGTCAATCTATGAACAAAGAATTGAATTGGAATCAATTTTGTTCCGTATTATTCTTTTGTACCAACAATCAAAACTCCTTCCCCTTAAAAAGGATTGACAAAAGCTTCAAACAGCACGCGGCTAGATAGAGCTTTTCTACACAGTCCTCTCACTAATCAGTAGTTGCGTTTAATTGAATCTAATATGAAATTGTAACTACTCTCAGTGTCTTGTTCTTGCCATACAAGTATGGCAAGGTCGACTGGGACATAGTCCCACGCTTTGTTCGTTAAACATTGGCTCTCTTTTAAGTACTGCTTAAACTTTATTCAAATTGTCCATTGCGTTCAGTTCTTTCGCCCACACAAGGGAGTAAAATAAAAAAAAAAACAAATTAAAACTTTTATAGCTGGACAAGGCCAACTATTAAATGCCTAGCGCGACTTTCACTACTGCAATCCAAATTGAAGGATTTATTAAAAGTTACTCATTATTGCCACAAGTGGCTTTCTAAGATAATGTTATAGTGAGGGTAAAGGATGCGTGGCGCAATACAAAACGTGAACGCAAACGTCACGATCCAAATTTCATCTTTTTGCCAACTCTTCATCATTTTGATTCTAAAACACGAAAAATTAGACCTATTTACCCTATGAAGTGTTGTTTTTCATAAGAACTCTTACTTTGAATAGAAACGAAAAATAAGCCAATGCGGTCCTCAATTCTGTAGGAAAATTTTTATAATGAAAACACAATAAATTGAGGTTTATTAACTTTGCTTTGATCTTGACTCTATGACTCCGACTCAGCTACACTGTGCGCAGTGTCTTATATAATAAATAATTATGCTAGCTTAAGCCAAGGCTTAATGTGGACCATAGCTAAAGTAGATTATCTTAACCAGGTTATAGCTACGTTTACATGAGGTGGAAATATATGAAAGTGTAAACTAAGCATAAATGATTATTAAACGGGTAGACTGCGATAAATCGATAATGCTGCAACACTTTTTTGCCCTGTTAGGCGTTGTTGGTTAGGAAAACCGTTATGTTGAGGAGCGACCCCAACATAAATCGAAGCCCCAATACTTTTAGATGTCTAATCATTATTTTATAGAATCTTTCGCATAATTTTTAATTCATTTTTCGACTAAAATATCTCAACCAACAATATTAGGTTATGATGTATCAAAAATGGTAATCTAATGCTTCAAGACGAATATGCATACATAGGGTGTAAGACGGACAGGTGGATAGACTTGCGTATTTCCACTAGGAAAGTAATTCTTAATAGACTGATACGATAAACGATGCGTCCACCTCAAAGTCATTCAATTTTTGCGATCAATAATTTTTTGATTTACATACAAAGTACTACCATCTCGATACAATGGATAAACAAAATGGAATCGATATATCGAATGTATTGACTTTCATCGCATGATGATTTGCGTCTTTCACATTTCTTTAAAGATTTTCTTTTAAAGCTGAATTTTGTGCATTTAGGACCTATGAGTGATATGAGCGGTTAAATGGCACTTATACACAAGCATTAAAATGAATGAAAGAAAAGTGCTATATAAAGCAGTGGGAGTTTAGATGAGTTGGTAAGCGCAAGAAAGCTACTTAAATTGAAATTGATTTTTATACTCATAAGCAGTTTCTTTAAAGAAAAATCTATATGTATATAGATGGAGAGATAAAAAAAATTAAAAAGTGCATGATAATAAAATTTTAATGTTATTTCTTTGGTTTATGAGCGAAGAAGTAAAAATATTTTTATAAAGCTTATGTAAGAAAAATTGAAAGACAACCTTAAGAAGAAATTTTTACCAGCCAACAAACTATTGTAACGACTTAATAGTACGAAGTCATATAAGAGATACTTCCTCTGCACGATTTTATAAAATTGGAGATTTTCTACAAGAGAACGGCCAACACTAGCTATATTCAATGAATAAAAATTTTCTCTTTGTCTCTTTGTTTTTTTTTTTTTTTCTTTTTTATGCATGGCACTGTAAAACAAGAAAACTCTTAACCGATTATCGTATCGACTCGTTGACGTGTGTCTCATTTTGTAATCATAAAACCATAATAATGTACACAAAATTAGGCAAACGTAATACTCGTTTAATGCCAAACTAACCTTAAGACAGCATCTGTTTTCCATTGTAAAGATACAAAGGTGTAATACTGTTAGAGACTTTCCGTATAATTCCTCTATAAACATGCCCTTCCACAAAAGGAATAATATAAGGAAAGCACGAACAAGTAATGCGTGCATATACTAGATGCATTGAAAGATAGATAAGACAAATAAATATCAAAAGCATAAAATAATACTTAGAGAAAAGCTTGAGCTAATACAATAAAGCATGTTCTTTGGGCTCAATTTCCATGACATTTTGCAAACTAAGATTAGCGTTTACAACCCTATTCGTTTGTTTGTTCGTCATAGAAAAGCCCATTATCTTATCTTTATATATTATCGTAGCCTATGTCTGTATATTCTCTAAAAAGGAAATCACTTCTACATACGCACTTGTACAAAAGACACTTGACTCAAGAGATTGGCTACATTTGGAGATCTGTTTGCTTTAATTTGAAATATATTTCATAGATTTAGAAAAAGTTTAAAAAGTATAAGGAAAATTTACTCGTTTCTTTTACTTTTTATTTATTACAAACGCAAAGGAAGTAAGATTAAGAATCGATTATATCAGACTCGCATATGTTAATATACAGAGATCCCTTATAAATGCACTTTTCAAAATCGACAAAATCCCCTTCAGCTTCCGCAATGTTGCTATGATTTGATTCAACGCTTTCTCCCTTAAGCATACATTTGAGATTTGCAAACAGATAATAGTCGCTACAGACCGTTGGGATAATTAATTGCTGGTGTGATCGCCTTCGGCTTGTAAGACGGTGCATTGTTTTAGTGAAAGATCGTATATTTTTTCGTCCCAGTTTTGGCGCTTTTTCCAACTAAATTAGACCAAAAATCTCGTAAAATATTCTGCATTCGTCTTTGCCCCTTTTCCGAGATAGACGCATATGCGTACGACTCTTTTGTGCTAGGTGGCTTTGCACAAACTTCCCTAAATCCTTCCTACACAGCGAACTGACGTTTCAACACAGAAGTGCAATGTTCGTCCCATACTTCGCCAGTCGTCACATGCAGCAAAAAAAAGTCATCAAAATTATTGCCGTTTTACGTTTCCATATAACAATTACTATTAGTGGTGTTTGCGTTTCACTGTGCGTGCAGGCCTCATTAATTTGGAGAACACTTTTCTCATATGAATATTTTGACGCAAAACATTCAAAATTCACTATCTTCTATTATCTTGAGCTATCTACTATAACTTCACTTTTCAGTTATCGGTGATAATTTAACAAAGGCTTTTTTTTGGTGCTTTTGGTGTAACCGTCTCTCTTGGCCAACCATTGCTTTCCGTGTCGCCACTTAATTTCAGGAAATTAAGAAAGTGCTGTTTTCCACGGAGAAGACCTGCCTTAATAACTTTCAAGTCAGTGCCGAGTTATTTTTTCCATCGAAACAAGAAATCAATAGTAACGCCATCTTGAATATCAACCTGGGTGCAAGAGCTTCCAATGTTTCTGCCAAGTTTGAAGTCCACAGCTGGTGTTTTTGGGGCCAGGAAAATGTTGAAAACAGACATTACATAGACGGAGAGACTGATGGACATGCCCAAATCGATTCAAAATTCGATCCTTATTAAGAATATATATAACTCGGTCGGCGTTTCCTGCAGAAGTTTCCTTCTGGGCGTTACAAACGTTTTGACAAAATGAATACATCTCCCATTCTTCAGTAATGCGCATAAAAAAATTTAAATTTAAATTTAGATTGATTTGCTTGAGTATAGGGTACGCTTTGTTGTAATCAAGGCAGGCTTAAATTATGAATAGGAGAAGTAGACAATTGTCATTGACATCATAGAAGGCGCATATAACGAAAATAATTTTGCCAATGTTACGTTGATCAGTGATTTTGTCATGTCCTAACCGTAACCTAACGTGGAAATGGCAACTTACATGACCGTAAAGCGATTAACAAAAATCTTCATAAATTATCTAAGGCAGCAATTGCTTTGGAATAATTTTCCGTTCAGTTCAGTTCACAATAAATGCATGGTAATATGTTTTTAATGAAAATATTTATTATGAGTTAATAAAAAACCTAAATTTTCTATTAAATTATTATGAGAATTCGAGTAAATAATGTGTCAAAATTGATTTTCAAAGTGAGAAAAAGATAGTGGACTTACCTTTACATTACCATTTTCAAAATGAACGGTACATTTATTAAATTTAAACTGATGAGTAGCCAAGATTCGCCCAAGAAAAAGTTTAACGTTCTTTTCTTCAGACTGCTTCAAAGGAAGAATTTCTTTAACATTTTCACACATTTTACTATTTACTCTAATTATGAGGACACACTTTACATTAAAAGATTTAAAGGAAGGTTAAGAAAGAAAAACAACAAAAACGAAGCAAGAAGAAAGTGTTAAGGTCAAAGAGATAAATTATTTATTGCTATAGCATAAGAGTGAAAGTAATAAAATATTTATTTTGTATTTGTTCTTGAAAATTTAACAAAAAAAAAAAAAAAAAAAAGTCTTTGTTTCATCTTTCAAATAAATTATAGAATTATTAAAAGCAATTGCAGTCGAGGGAGACATAAATGAGGAAATCCGAACGAAAAATAAGAAAAGTAAGCTTTAGAAAATCCTCTATAAAGCCTAAAAGCACATATCTCGTAGCCATTCTGCCCATGTGACGATTTACGTGTGTGACGCAAAGAAATGTAGCTGGCAGCAGGTAATACGTCAAACGAAGGGAAACAAACGTAGATGAACGAAACCAGTTATAGCTGAACTGACAAGTAAACATATCACGGACAAACAACTTTGGAGAGGAAAACGGCCTTTGAACGGATTGATGCATAACCATGCAGGCGGTCAGGTTTCTTTAGTTTAAATAAAATGGTGATATGTCGGCTAAGCTGGGTAATATTTCGAACAAAAGGGGGCCAGATGAAAATGAAAGAAAGCAGTTACAGTTACAGTATTGATCCGAGGAACCCGTGAACGGAGTTTCGTTCATCTACCGGCGGGCGACAACCGTCGAGATAAGCGCAAATTTTGGGTGAATTGAGCAGAGAGGCGAATGGAGAGAAGAAATCCGTAGGCCGAACAGGGGAAAACAACTTCTGACGTTTCTCAAGTTGTAGGCGCAGATTCGGCTACAGACAGTCTGAGGAATCTTCATCAAACAAGAAAGGAAATTACGGGTCGGACGATCTAACTGGCGAAAATAAACGAACCCACCTTTGTATACTTTGCAGCATTTGTCTTTTGTTTTCTTCTCAGATGATTAACCATTGGAGTTTCTTCATAATACGACGTGGATTCAATAGGTTAGGGTAGCATGACGTATATCGTGTTTTCTGACTTTTAACAACGATGTGCTGATGATTTAGAGCCCTTTTGGACGCGGGTTTTTTGCGGTATAAAAAGATTATTTTCATGCGATATGCGGCAATGGTTGAAGCATACGAAGAAAGTTGGTCAAAACGGTCAAATCGCCACCAAGTCAACTGTAACTTGTAAACCAATGGCCGGAATGTCATGAAATATTGAAAGGTTTCACCACCGGAGAGTTGGCTCTATCTAAAAATCATATGGATTCGTTAATAGTATTGGCTCGTAAATGTCATCCGTATACCTTATTGATCGAAGTATTGCGTGCAGTACGGCGGCGATGGCTACAAATATTGGGATGATAGGTAAAGGGGAAAAATTAGAATAAAAAGAAAGCATAAAAACGATTAAAAAAATAAGTGTAACAACATTCCCTGTCTGTGGTTATAAAAATGTAAAGAAAAACGGGAAACAAAAATATGTTCATAAATATTAGCGTATGTGCAGACAGGTCACATATACCATCACAGCATTGCATTGGATTTGAAAAACTATAACTTTTATCCAATCAATAAATTTTTTCTTTTTTCTCCTTTTGCTAAACTGCTTATGTTTGTGTATCAGTTTCTAATCTCATGTTCAACGCAAAATTAAGTGTAGACATGGGATTTCACTTTAGTCTTGAAACCGTTCGAGCTCTCTATGGGGAACCAATCCCGTTGATATTTCAATGCAGTTGTATACTCTACCGATTGGTGGCTTTGTCTCTCTCTTTTTCTTAGTTTTCCTTTTTGTGCAATAAAATCACAGAATATTGTGTCGTAAATATGCAGAAAAAAAAAAGAAAAAAAAGTAAAGAAAGAGAAACATATGAAATCCTCTTTCCTTTTTTATTATTTTCTCTTCCTCTTTTTTTGGGGGTAAAGTGAAGCCACAGAAAACTTGTACGGATATCCCATAACCCATGTATTATTGCTAATTCATGCATTGATAGTTACTGTTATTGATGCTGACAAGCACTACTTGTCCTCTTGGCATGGGTGGTAGAGATATTGTAAGGAGATAGCAGGCAACAAAAACATCACCAAGGCTTACATTGAAGTAAAATAATCTAACCTCAGCTAATTCTACTTAAGGATACATTGTTATATAACTTTTTTTGAAATTTGTCCAATGCTAAGTGCCAAGTCATACGGTAAATCGGCATTTTCTCAATTTTATATTCGTCGAAACATTCTCTTAAGTTTTTTGGTAACAAACTCGATAGTAATTATTATAATTAAAAACGTTTTGAAGTAAATTAAGTGAACGAGAAGATTGTTTCCGAAAATTAAGGCTTTTTCATTTCCATTTGTTTGGATGTAAAGTTGCAGCTCTCACCTACGACATGTTCACTAACACTCGAAAGCATACCTTTTGCTCAGTAATTTTGGAAGCATATGGAAGCTCCTGCAAGGCAGATCATCAAAATCATCATGCAAAAGTGATTAAGCATAGATTTGTTAACAAGCTAGTAAATAGGATGAGAGGGCATAGTAATAAAATTAAGAAGAGCGTACTTTCAGCCAAGAGAAAGGATCACAAGAAAACTTCTGAAAAAAATTTATACATTAAGTGTACAAACCGATTTCCCCCTTTTTTTCTTCGATATTCGAGGCCTTATTGTGAAAAACTGTTTCTAGATTCACAAACTGTAAGTTTTGCTAGATAGGATCAGATTTGTTCACACTGAAAATCCACGACATGATGGCTTTTGCCAAGTTGCTTTCGTTTTCTGTCCCAATTGCAGGAATTGTTTTTGATAGCCCTAGTAATGGGAGGAAAACAAACCCGTACAGCTAGATCCCTTTCCCCCGTCCCAAGTTGACATTCAGCTGTGTCGCCCCAGTTAATACTTGGAGCACTCCGCATTATGGCATCGTAAACGTATTCACAATTAACCACTGGTAAGGAATAAGCCGGCAGCATGTTCTTGTGAATCGAGCAGGAAAAGTAAAGTTTCCCGCAAGTAGAGTTTCTTTGACATAGAATTACATTTCTTCAAAGCTCCAAAACAGTACAGTTGCGTAAGGCTTAAAGACTACACTTTCAAATGAGGAAAAGTCACAGTTTTATTTGCCATCCTATGGCACTATCCTCTCATTTATTTATACTCATAGACATAGATAGACACATGTTTAATGCTTTTAAAAGAATCTTTGTAGGGTTTTCTCAATAATATTGCAAACTACTTCCTTCTAATATAAACTACAAAGTGTTGAAAAATGAAAAACTTTAGTGACGAATGTTAACTATATTCAATGCTCAGATCAAGTGCGCTGCTTAAGCAAACGTTCATTCATACTCCGCTTCACGCAGTTTCTCACTGACTCCCGCAAATTAATAAGTGCTGCGCAAAGCAAGGAACAGGTGTGTGACATATGAGTCATTTTTCTATCCTCTAGAGACGACATGTCCCCAGGGGACTTAACACAAACTAGCGCCTATGAAGGCACGGTTCATGCAAAACAAATGCATTATGTTATTTAGAGACCGAAAATTATCTCCGAATATCGGGTAAGGGGCTATGTAAGGGCACGCCCTCCGTTCTGGGGGAAGACAAAGTCTATTTAATACCTCGATATTTAATGTTTTCATTATCTTAGCTAAACGCAGCCATCACAAAGCCTCCTGAACGATCGTTGTCAACTGCGAAAAATGAGAAAGCGAGGACAGGATGCTACCGAAATATGGGCGACCTGTGCCCGAACCTGGTTTTTATGCTTTTGGCGACCAAGCAAATACCATGCCATATCTGCAGTCACAAGCTGATTCTATCTAAAACATGAGGTCTACCGCGCTATGAACTGCACCCGAATATGCCGATTTGATAGTTACTTATTACATTATGCGGTAATACGAGTATTTTAATTTAATCGTTTGTACAGTCTTGGCTAATCGGCTTTCCAATGGCCAATGGCAGAGAAGATATCGATACGCGTTTTGCCTCCACAGAATTGCTTTCATAAGCCAAAAAGATATGACCTTAAGTCGTTTTCAGGATATCATTTTCAAATTTATCATACCGGTTCATAAATGGTTGCAGCAACGAGAACATTCACAAAAAAAAAAAAAAAAAACGAAAACAAAAACAAAATCCATGATAATATTAATGATGATTATCTCTATCAGTCACTCAATTTATGTTTCAATCTTGCTATTCTTGTCTGTTCTCTTTTTATATATTGTCGTATCATCTAAAATAAATAAAAAAAAAAAAAAAAACACGCAAGGACGCTGCTATTTGCGTAAAATTCCATTTGGAGCGTGAAAAGAATCCGCATAAATTTAATAGTCGCATGAAAAACAAATTGTGGTATTTTGAGTATGCAACATCTGAGACATTTGCCGCATCTTGCAAGAATCTCCACGAGAATATTGAAATTATCGTAAGTACAAGAACGTGACAGAACATATTTCTAAAATAAAGAATAATTCAAAATGAAACAAAGGGATGAATAAAAGAAAACAGTGAGAAAAAAAAAAAAAACCTTAAATAAAGCAAGAAAAGAAGCTTTGATGATAAATGTTTTCGTCGTTTACTTTCTGCTTATTACTTTCAGTGTGATGGTGTTGCTTTGGATTTAGCGAAAGGACCTCATTTGCAGGGTATCGCTTTGCTTAACATTCCCTACACACATGGTGGCTCGAATTTATGGGGCGAACATTTGTCACAAAAACGCATACGTAAAGGTGCAGGTCCGTTTCGCAAGAAATTGAGATCATCTGATAAAGAGCTTTCTTCGACGAGTTTCAATTCCGTTGATTTATCGGTAGCCATACAAGGTAATAAACAACTTGCAATTAATTTTGATTTTTCAATTAAAAGCCTCTCTACTTTATCTGCCACCACGCAAGAAGGGTTCTAGGCTTTACGTGTTAAACATATATCATATATATCTTAAAAATATAGATCAGAGGTTTCAAAAGGTTAAGATCTTTTAGCTATAATACCTAATGGGGTGAAATCGATAGTCATTTGGCTGAGTCTTAAAGACAGCTAGCTCTTCTGCTCTAAAAATCTGAAAAGTGCAGTTATTTAACATTGCCTTCGCTTGTAGCGATGTGCCGGCAGTCGCCAAGAACGGCAGTATCTAGAAAATGCTAATGTAAAATCACTTGCGAAAAGCTGGCTGCAAAAAGAAACATGATATGTAAATATAATATGAAAACGACTCGATCTCGAACTCGATTTCCGAAACTCCAACAAGTAAAAAAGTTATATTCAGTAAGATCACATCTTTTATAGCCATCCCCATTATCCTAAACCGGACGGAAAAAGTAAAAGAACTAAATTTTCCTACTTTTCAACATCAAATCAATTTTCATACAATATGGAAAGGGCGCGGCTGTTTTTTGCTATTTTCATAATAAAAGTTTTTGCCGCATAGGCATGTAGGCGTCTCTGACGCTTCCTTCTCGGCATTGCAAACGTTTTCACAAATTGCGTTTGCGCCCCATCCTTCGGTGATAGTTATAAAAAAAAAAAACAGTGGTGATCCTTTATTATAGTAACCAAGACTAACTAGTTCTAAGAATGGAGATAATTGCCTGCTTGCATAACATTTTATTTTCGGTACGCGAATTTGTCACTTGAAAATACAAAATAGGTCGTCCAATTACCGGGTTAATGCAGGCCACAAAAGTCTATGCTATAATACGTATTAAGAGGTTGCATTAATTTTGATAGTTTTTTCACTTGCGAAATATTGGTACGACATGCGCAAATCAAAATTGTTTCCATCATGTTCTACAACATTATACCATATATACTTGGTAACATGTCGTTATCATGTCAAAAGAAGTTATATTGGTTTGGCAGCGATCCACCCACCGATACATTTTCGCACTTCTTCAACTTTGCCAGCGTGCCAGCCAAGCCATGCTGCACCGATCTGAGGAAGTAATAATCAGCAGGCGACATGTCTGGGGAGTACGCTCACTGTGACAGAACTTCCCATTCGAGCTGCAACAGTGTAGACAAGCCTTGCAACAAGTGGCCAAAAAATGGCATTTTCAGTCAACTTGTATCGCCACCTTTAAACCGATGGAACCAAAACGGTTGACAGTTGAACGTGTTTGATGGGCTTCAAAAGCAGATTTCTTCGATTAAACAACAAAAGTAATAAATTTGGAAGAATAGGAAGAACTTGAGCGCTCCATGATTAACGTCAGCAGCACACGCCGAATAAATCAATATAATTAAGACGAAAACTGTTATGTTATGAAGAGGAATTCAATTGTTTTGTGCACTGGCACTTCCCATTTATTCATACTTTTTACCTGTAGAAGTCGCCTATCAAAATTAACGCAACCACCTAATATATTTTTTGGTATGCTATGTGAGTCATATTTAGATTTACATTGCTTTGGAAATTAACAAAACATACTTTTAGGAAATTTTTACCAGCATTGATCGGCTATTTTGCCGTAAGAAAACTTGTTGGAAACCCTTCACTAAGTTTTTGCCGCTTGCTAGTAGAGTTAAGTTTTTCAGAAACATCAAAGCTTTCTTCGTCACCCACAAAGATCATCTTAAGTAATTAAAAAGTATTCTAGATTGCTGAGGCATTTTTTAGCCAGTTTCTTAACTCTTGCGCATGATTTGTGTACACATCGTGTGAAACAAAAAATTACCAGTCGATATAAAAACTCTAAGTTTCAAGAAAATATTATATAACACAGTTCATGTTGTATGTTTTCTTTATAATATAATTTAGTTTAGTATAGATTAAAAAAAACAAAAAAAAGAATTGGTTAAATTTATAGATGTGGGAGTGATTTATTTTCGGCACAATGCGTGACACAGAAATCGATAGAACTCTTTAATTATCGTAAAACAGTGGACGGTGCGGATAGGAGCAGTTCAATTAGCGCATGATGTACAGCGGATGCACGAACGCTATAAGAAAATAATTTCCACTCCATAGACATTATGTAACCGAACTACCACATGTTATATGAAGAACATTCTTTTCTTTAATTCCTCTTAATTCCATTATTATTATTATTATTATTATCATTGCTATGCATTTAACCAGAGAAATAATTTCTAAGACGCAATCCTTAAAGCGCTTGCATGTAGGGCTACTAGCGTTTTCTTGTGTCTACATTTTATTATTTGCTAGCAATTTTTAAGTTTTCAACAAACAATCCCTCTTTCAACAATAAATTGTTCGCTCTTTATCGAATAAAACCGATTTTAATCGTTCGCTTCGAGTTTTCCGCACAATTATTATACGACCATACGTATAGCTTGGTTACACGTCATCGCTGATTTTAATTGCAATGTAATGGGAATACTGCCCGACTAGATGCTTAACATAAGAAGAGAGAACTTTTTTTTTTTTTAACATATGGTCAACCATTCAGGGAGTGTCTCTGATTTGTGTAATACGATCACGGTCGGAAGGAAGGGAGGAAAAAGGAAAAGATAGGAAAGCGGCTAATCAGTAATTGTTATGCTTGCCTTTACCGACTAAGTGCTCACTACAACTACGAGCACCGTAAATTCTACCGCATCGAGATTTGAACCCTCGAAAGCGGACTTAGTAGTCGGGATTCTTACGTAGTCGGCTACTCATACGGACTAGCGTTTCTAACGTAAACTAACTTCTACTTTTGTATTACTCATGAAATTTGAATATCTTGTTACACACTTGTTACACACACACACACACACACTGATATGTGGTATATTCATAGCGTATGGAAAATATATTGCGAGCATCAAAGTGTTAAGTTCGCTTTGGTATCACATTTTGGTTAAATTATTCTCTTGTTAATTTTACTTTATATGCAATCGGCCAAAGAGCGTTGACCCAGGGTTGGCCGCTTTGATATTTTCTTAATATACGGACCGATATGCAGGATCGGGGGATAATGACGTTGGAAGTCATGGCCGTTGGCTCCGATAGTGATCTTGAATAGATTGCCAATTAAGTTCGAACGGAGGAGAAGAAGATGACACTTCCCCTTGCTTCTAGATTCAACTGCCGTACGAGTAACATAGTGTATCGGTAAAATTAGATAAGTTTCAATACGTACAGGGAAGCCTGTAAAGATGTTCTGCCAGCTAATAGTGCGATAAGAAAAGATTAGATTAGGCTAACTAGCCGAGACGCTCGAGTCTTTCAGGACTAGCCAACATGACATCTTCTAATTTCCATTAGCCTTCGATGCATTTATAATACAAATAATACATATCGATTTAAGTAAATAAATTACTGTGAAAATGAGCAGAGTTTATGGTAATAAAGTTGGAAAAGAACGTTGGAAAGTACCAAACTTTGGTTGCTATGATATGCATAATATATCAAAGATAAGGTTAAAGCAACTTTTCAGTAAAGGGCCAGAGCACTTGATAAAGTTTATTGGGGTATGTGTATACCTGACCTGTGTAGGTCACATTTTCTAAAACTGTTTTCGTCAGGAAGGAATTTAAATTCTGTACATAAGGCTGTCTGTCTGTCTGTCTGTCTGTCTGCCTATGTGTTACGAAAGCGAATCTTTATTCCACCGCCTGCAATAATTAGAAAAATCGTTTCATCGATTTAGCAATAATTAGCAAAAACTTTGAAAATTTTCCCCTTTTCGCTAGGTTATCACATTAACATTGAAGAAGAAGAAATCTTTAGACATTTAAATTGGATCGCAAATTTTCCTTTAATTGAACATCCCGTCCAAGTTTGAAATCAAGTAAATTAGATAAAAAGCCGGACCAAAATAGAAAATGGGATTTCACTTCACATTTTTACGCGAGAACATGAAAGCATAAGAGAATGAGATTTTAAATTTACATACATATCAACTATACGAGTGTTCGAGTCGAACACTGTAAAAAAGCTGGTGGCGGTTATCTGAAGATTTCTGCTTGCATATCATATGTGACGCCAACAATTTTAGCCACTTTTAATCGCTACCATTATTAGATATCGGCGATCGGTTAATCGAAGTAATCGGTTTAGAAAACTGCCTGCATATGGGTCAAGTTCGCACCGGCTTAAGGGCTTCTGGTCGGCGTTTGGCTCAATGTAGCGAAGTTATAATAAAAACTAAAAAAACTTTTCCTATGCAAATTGATGGTGAACCCTGGATGCAAATGCCTTGCACGGTAAGGATGAAATCATTCGTACCTATCCCCTACAGGCGATTACCATTTATTTATTCATTTATCTTTGTTTTGCGCACAGATTAAAATAACGCATAAAAATCAAGTTCCAATGCTAATGGCACCACGTTCCGCCAAAGGACGAGGTTTCTTTAATATGCTATGCAGCTGATTTAGACGCAGTGTTTCATCGAGTTCAATATTACGGAAACGGTTTTTAACCGCCGCCAATAATGCAAGCAGTAATCCTACTACAACAACCATACACACTACAGAAACTACCACCGTCCAACGTATAGATTAGCTTTAATATTATTAAGATACGAAGTAGTACTTAAACGGAATATAAATTATACACACACGCGCATATACCTATACGTATACCCGCGCGCACGCACACATACACCCATACACGAATAATAAATGGATATACGACTAACTTTTAAATATAAGAACAAGTGAAAACACTGTAGTAGGTTACAGCCACCCTTAAATACCGTACTCCGTCATTATTCACATAATGACCTTTCAAAATAAAACCGTTATACGAGAAGTGAAAAAGTGGTCCAATCTGATAATTTTCAATACCGTTGGTCGAAGAACTTAAACAATTTCATCGGAGTACCTCACATATCGCGAGATATAGGTTGAAAACAAAAAGACATGATAGACAGACGGATAGACGGACAGACAAGCTTAGATGGATTCATAAAAGGGTTCTGCATCGGTCGGCATAATAAAATATATATCCGTTTCAAGTCCATTTGGGTGGGCATACATCTGCACTAACGTAACATACTCTTGTAGCACAAATGGCGTAGAGTACAAAAATGGCACAGCTATCGCACTTATTCATATAAAAACGTATAACAAAAGTAGTCCTGGGTACTTCAAGGTCATTTTGAACCTCCCCTTCTCCCCCCCCGCACACGCACACACATACATATATGTACATATACACGGAGAGATTCGTTACATAATTCAGCCTGTAGAGTATCTGGATTGTTAGTTGTTAAGTTATAAAACATATGGAAAATATTTCACTTTATTTATAAATAGCATTACACAAAGTCCATTTACACATACATATAAATATAAAAATTATATGTATAAAGTATAACAGATAAAAAAAAAATAGAACCTAACAAGGGAAATTTTAAGTCCTAATATAATATATTGACACATATATACATATATATACACATATATATACACATATATATATATATATATATATACTTGCTCTTATACAAAAGCATTCTAAACCGCACACGCATATATTAAAAAACTTTAAATCTCCAACTATGCATAGAAAAATTTTAGATATATAAAGCTTTTTAGTCCAATAGGTTCCAGAACAAAATGTAACTCTAAAGAGACCAAAAGAAAAAAAAACCAAAAGTAACAACAAGAATAGAGTATAAAGAAACAAAAAAACTAACATTACAGATTTTAAAAATTGTTAAATATACAAGCAAAAAATGGAAGACAGATTTACAGAAAAATTAGGTAAAACGAATTCTAAAAAAAGAAAAAAAACGAATGCTAACATTGAAAACCTTCTAAAATATAAGCAAATATTTAAAAGAAAAAATTTTTTTCACATATCACAGACTTTTGTTATATAACAAATAGAACTATTATTATATAACAAAGTTTTATATAATTTGTTTTTAAAATATTATTTTTATATTTAATATTTTACTGTTTTTTTTTTTTTTTTTTTTTTTTTTTTAATTAAAAGCAAAGCTAAACTGTATTCAGAACCGGAATATATGAAATGAATACTTCACATGCCAAATCGATTAACTCCATTTTCTGAATTTTGTTCTAAAATTTTAATATTTAAGTACTTGATTGACTTTGTAACGGTAATATTCCATGAATATAAGTGTTAATCATATTAGATGACAACTTCTTCATTCTTGGTCATTGAATAATGAATAATATATTTCAGAATCCAACATCGTAATATAAATTTAATTAAAACACTTTCTAACAAAGCCATTGAAGGTTGAATACGGCTGACAAATAACCATAAAGGCATATATCGATTAAGGAATAAAATATTGTTTGTTGTATTCCACGTTGTTGTATACTACGTACGGTACAGAATATACTAAGTTTATGCAAACGTACGTAACATACAGAAGAGCTTAAGATAGACTCACCATTTATTGTATGTTCGTTTCTCCCCCTGTCCGTCTGATCTGTCCATGTATTTTTGAGATATTTTATGAAATTTGCAACATTGACATGTTTTGACCCAAGAACGAACGCTATGGAAAATGATTTGTAGGTGTCCACGTTTTCCACCAATCGCCATGTGATGTCTTATATTGCAACGTGGTTACGTAACCGTTCCTACAAAACCTGCATCTTTGTATGGCGAAAAAGGCATAATTCATCCATAAGGTGAAAATAGATCCAGTATAACAGTTAATTGACTAAGAAGTAAACCTTATCGAATCTGGACCACGTAGGCGTATTGCTTAGATATCACCGCATATAACGATTCTCAGGAAATGTTAAAAAGTTTTTAATGTTTTATGACAAAAATATGTTCATAGTAGCAATTTGATCCACATTTGTTAGACCACACTCCTTATAAGATTCCTCATGAATAGTAAGGCCTTCAGAAAAAATATAATGTTTGATATTTTACGATGAACATTTTTCTGTAATAGCAATCGAACACAAGAATTGACGGTAGGGATTTGGATCACACAGGTATATTGCTTCGACCACAAATACACAAAGGTTGTCATGAAATCATAAGGGAGAAAATCTAATTTCTAGTTTCTAATACTAGAAACTGAAAAACAATAATATATTTTGGAAGTATATTAAAATTGGATCACGCCTTGTGACGTTTTGGATTTACCCCAATATCCGGGCTTTCATGAAAAATATTCCTTTGCATGAAAATAATGTGTAATTTTTGATATATTATCACCAAAACGCTAGAATAACTAACTACTCTAGACCAAGTGCTATAGGGTATCTAAAAGTCGGCCTTGCCTGCCTATAATATTATTGTTTTCATCTTACTGTTCTATTTGCATAAGTTTCAATAAGTATAAAACTTAATTTCTTAACAAAAGTATATAAATAAATTCTTAATTTATCTTTCAAAACAAACAAAACCATATTCCATATGTACTTCATAGAAAATAATCATATGCGCAAAAATGTAACTTAATATTAATTAAACTACGTCATTAATACGATATTGTGCTGCTCTTGTGAATAAGGACTTGCATGAGTGGCATAGAATCCACATAATTTCTCACAAAGATTATATCAATCTCCGTCCATTTTAACGATATTACAAGTTTAAGTTTCTTAAGCGGAGGATATCGCTTGGACATTGAAATTATCTTCGCGGAAATATTGCACGGAGATTCTCAATCGGGTTGAGGTCGGGGTTCATGGCTGGCCGCTCCAGTCACGTTTATTTGGTGTGATTCAAAAAAATTTTCGTAAACCCTGCGATATATCGCTTCGTTATCTTTTTGGAACGTGCAATTATCACCATATAACACTCCAGCGTAGTCCTTTAAGTTGTTCTCAAACAAGTCAACATACGTCTACATGTTCATTTCGCGGGGTAGAAAGCATAATTTTGACTTTCCTTGTTCTTGTAATTCAGTCCATACCATAAGAGATCTGTCTTCATGGTTCTAGCTTCCAGTACATTTGCCGAGAATGTCATTTATGATCCCCCACAGGTCTGTCCAAATTAATGTTTTTCCCATCATTTAATATTAAGATGTTCTAACTCTTCCTTCAAAACATCTGCAGTTGACGAAAAATTCAACGTACGCTGGGTTAAGAAGGTTAAGTGATTTCACAATTTTATGTTCATACCTAAGATCTATATCGTCCTTACGAAGTTGCAGTCCCGTTACATTCACACTTAATACTGCCTTTATTTGCCTGCAACTTATATTTTCATTAGTTGCTAAATGGCAAATATGCCGCCTTATCCTTTAATCTACGGTTACAATTCCTCCAATGCGCTTAATGCTAATATAATTGCCAAAGCTTTTTAGGTAATTTTCGATCGCATTGCAGTAAGTAAGTCTCGTTCCTTTAATCTTCCCGCAATCCTGATCCGACAGTTTCAAGGGACATTTTCAATCAGCAACAAATCAATGGGTGCATAATTATTCTTTAAAATATTTTGAAAATGCGTTAATTTGCTATCAAATTGCAAATTGGTTAGTTCGATAATCCTAGGTCAAGGGACCACAAGTAAAGATTAAAGAAGAAGCATGTACCTGATAAAGAGAGAGTATAGATACAAAAAAATAATTTACCATTAGTTGTTGGATGTGAGAATAAGCGTCCACATTTGTTTATATTTGTATAAAAATTGCGTGCATACTCTTTCCACAATGTTCATAAAAAAAAAAAAAAACACACAAACAATTTTAGAAAATTTACTGTTCCGTACATTTGATTTTATGGAGTTAATCAATTTAACAAGTGAGGCATTTAAATGTGGGACGTGAAAAAGTAGACGAAATGTTCTATTCGGCTTACGGGGTATCACTGGAAGTTAACATATCACGTTCAATAGGCGGTAATTATAAACATTTACTAGTTTTTAAATGGCCCTAATAGCAAAAGCAAATTTCAATCAAGCTCCGACGTTAATGTGTCAAAGTATCACGTTCATTTAGTTACGACTTTCGGACCTAACAGCAGACGGATGGTCAGGTGGACAAATTTATACCGTTAAATGACTTCAGAATCTCATACTGACTGAAAGATATAAACACTTTATGAGATATCTGTCCAGAGAGACAAATCTTGAAATATGTGAGAAGCCGTCTTTCTTGCTCGCCTACAACTCTGAAAACGTTCAGAATTTCGTTCGGAGCACTACTTCCAAAGTCTTGTGGATAATTTGTGGAGCCAAAACACAACTTATTCCCTAACGATCCGAAAGTTCCATGAAGGTTACTAGAAAGTTAACAAATGAAACGAACCTATAGAAGTGACTCAGCGCCAACCTAACGCGTTAATTGTAAATATGGTAATAGTAAGCATTGAACACAATAAGTAATATTGCCACGCCACTCACATAGCAGTATTAACAAAGCGATAAACATTTTATTCCCCTCGTTCTCTCCCTTTACACAGTGCCGGATTTAAAAAATGAATCCTCTGATCAGTTATTGGAATTAGATGAAATCAAAATCAGAAAACAGTTTCCATTTGTACACCATAAAAAACGAATAAATAACCTACACCACTTCGCTGAAGTCAGTTAATCAATATAAGGCGTTCTGCGAGTGGAAATCGAACCAATTCGGAGCATTTTCAATACCATTCGCGACAAATTTCACCAAATTATATCAAAAACTGCGGTTGAACATAGGAAGACAAAGCGGACATTGGGACAGGCAAGCTCAACTCGGGTCGGAAACTGATCTTGAATCGATAAGTATGTTAAGTCTTTCTTTCTGTACTCTTGTACCCCAAGTCCTGTGGGACTTAGCCGTCTTGTGAAAAAAATTCTAGTTAAACAAAAAAAAAAGATTAAATTCACAAATGTACGCATTAAACATAAAAACTAATAAACTCGGATCACTCGTATTACACCGTCTGTAGGCGCAATTTTTTCAACTACTACATTACGCTACGCATTCTTTTAAAGACTATCTTTGTCGCCAGTTACTTATAGGGCCAGTGACAGATCGCTAGCATTTGTTCCGAAAGGCTTTGCTATATGTTTATTACTCTCTTTCGCAATTCTCATCGCTGCCTGCCTTTCTCTTTTCTCGAAAATAGCAGTTTTTAAAACATTTAGATTTTGCTTTGAAAAATCGGTAAGAAAAATCTTAAAGAAAATGTTCCTTAAAAGGAGAGATGAGATAGACGAAATATCTACCTCCGAAGGATGAGCCTTGAACGATGAAAGACCCTTAATACATGTTAATCAATATTCAATTCTGAATCGACTGACAGACAGTCTGTGTAATTTTAGTGATGAGCTTCCTCCTGGCTGTTAGAATGACGATATTTGCTTCAAATATTCAAAACATTCAAAATTAGTGCGCTGATGTTGGCGTTCAATACGAGACAAATCGAAAGTTGAACGACGTGCTTACAGGACGACGTAAGCCATTTCTGCTTTCTAAAAAAACATTTTTTTTGCTCATTACTAGCAACTAACGCGGACTTACTTATACAAATTTGCCTGAACATGCTACAGCCACTCCTCTCGTCCGTAAACAAAAATGGGATACTTTAGTTACACTCACCCAATGTTGTAGTGCACTAAAAGTTCATTTCTTGTGAACGCCGTGCAAAAATCTTCAGAAATCTTAGAAACTATGTATATTACTGACCAGCATCGTAATCGAAATCTACCCAAACATTGGCCCGTTCGCAAAAATAAAGATATCAGTTTGGTACTAAAAGGACCCAAATCGTTTATTGTAAACAATCGTGAATTGTAAACAATTTCATATGTTTTTCAATCGAATTTCCATACCTCCCTTTGATTTCATATGTTTTTCATTCCAATTTCCATACCTCCTTTTGAATTGTAAGCAATTTCATATGTTTTTCAATCGAATTTCCATACCTCCCTTTGATTGCAAGTCAGCTATGCCCACTCAGGAATACAGACTATGGAAATTCACATTTTTCATCCTTTTAATCTTTTTTTAGGATAAAGGTACTATATGTGAAATATTTGATCGCAGCCGAATATAATTTTCCACTTGCGATACAGGATGTATTAAATTTGTAACGAGTATGTAACGTCCAAAATAACTTGGATCGATTAATCTTGTATTTTGTGTCTGTTTGCCTCCTGTCCGCCCATCAAATTCCAGATCGCAAATTGTAAAGAAACTACACTAAGCCTGAACCATGTAAATCAATTTTGTCTTTTGCCTTTTGTATAACAATAGCTTTGAATAGTTTATTACAAAAATAAATGAAGAATTGTGTTAGACGAACTGGTGCAAGATATTTAATGGTCGGTCTTGCCTGTCTACAATGGGTATACTTCTTTGCTAGTGCTTTGTTTAGTTACGCAATTAAAGAGGTAACTTTTCGAGTAAAATTTTGCAAAATTAAAATATCGGCATTAATGAGTACTAAACAAAACTCTTATCAATTCTCTTAAAAAGTGAAGGGAAAAATTAATTTCGCATGCAACACATTTCGAAAGTAGTGGAGTTTTTTTCTTCATAAAATTCTAAACTCATGTATGTCTTTCCACTTCTGGGCGGAGACTCAAGAACACTATAATCGTTAGCTATGAAAGATTTTATTATCGGGGCATAGTCTCAGATGTTCGTTCGAATCTTCTTAACATCTCAATATGTTTTGCTTTCCCTCCACCTACCTATAAACGTGTTAACATGCTAAAAACTAAGATATTAATATTAATTCGAAACAACGGGCTGAAATATATGATTTAGAATTCATAGGTAAAAATTAAAATTTATATTAAAAATTAGTTCTTTCTCTATTAAACAAATTGTAATTATTTACAAATTCCGTCCATTCACAATACAAGCCAAATTTCAGTTTTCTATATCATTTTCTTCTTGTTTATATACATATAACCTAACAAGGAGATTACTTGGAAAACTATAATAAAAATGGCTTCGAATTTTAATTTGACCAAAATTGTAAAGGAAGTGTCAAATTCTAAGGAATTTATCTATTTTCTAATTTTGTAATAAATTATATTTTGTAGAAATGTTTTTCAATAAGCAGAGAATAAATTTGAAATATATTGAAATTATTAAAAAAAATTTCCAAACATTTTATATATATATATGTATTTTTAATGTGCCAAGAAACAAAATCAAAAATTAGATTATACTAATCATCATAATAATAACGATAAGAAAAAATTTCATTTTATGTATTTAAAGAAAAGCAAATAAACAAAATTAATAATAATATTAAAATTTTTGTTTGCAACTTTTAAGAAAATATATTTCATGACATAACCAACTAATAAAAAAAAAGTGTCGTGAAATATCAAACCACAGTAGGAGTTAACATTAATTATAATGAAATAATAATGAAAAAATGAAAAAAAAAAAAAAATATATATATATATATATATACAGATAAGAGATATTCTCTAGCGTTTAGTCATAGATTATTTGAAAATAAACAAACATTTACTAGAATTAATTTAATTATGCATATATGTAGTAACTTACAAATAGTAGTACAACCATATCGTTAAATAATTAGCTATAGGGGTTCTCATAAATGAAATCAATAAACATCGTAATAAATCTACAAGTATACAATATAGGCGATAAAAAATCAAATTAAAATTTAGTAAAAAAATATATAGAAAAAATTCTGTTGATTTTGTTTTTCTCATAGATTATAATATCTACAAATAAAGCAGAGCAGTTTATTTAAGAAATTCTAGACTTTTATTTCTCGATCACAAGACAATAAGCCGGAGGCAATTTTAGTTGAACATAAGGACCCATTAGGCTAATAAATGTTATGATACGATTCGAACTCTTTGTTTTTGCCAATAGCTCAGCCGTACGACAGGGATGTAAACATAAACACGGCTTAAATAGGACCGGATGCTCCATTTGTGTTAAAATGTTTAACATTCGCTGACGGGTGTACCGCGTTTCATCACCTCGAGCTGCTTGAAAAATATCCCACGCTTTTTCCAGGCTTATTATCTTACCATCTGAAAAAAATTTTTATTTTCTTCTTAATATAAGTTTGATCACTGAAATGAAGAACAGGATGCATCATTATCTTGTCGTTTATTTCCTACACTAACTATTATACAGGGTATGTTAAATTTGTGCGAATGTATATAACATCCAGAAGTTCTTCAAGCAGATTCACCTTTTATTAAACCGATCGATTCATATTCGAATTCATTTTCTAAATCGATCTAAGCTTGTCTACCCATCTGATATGTCTGTTTACTTTTGCCTACAAATCAAACGTTTTGATATATATATGGACGGTATCTTATACTTTTTTTGGGCCCAGACGCGACTCTTTTCAGAGGTGGATAGGGTTAAATTATTTTTTAATGAATACCTCTCATATAAGGCTTTATACTGAAAACATCGTCATATGAGAAGGGATTTGCAAGTATTAAAATTTGTCAACAAAAATCGCCAAGTCAATTAAAAAATTAGGACCGAATAGGACCCTGTCGGGGCTGAATGTTAATATTTTAGTACAGCAATTGATCCATAATTTTGATTTGACCGTGCCAAATTTGGACGACGGAAATGGGAAATTCAACAATAACCAAGGGAATAAGGGAATAAAGTAAACATTTCAATGAGTTCTGAAAAATTCGAATTCATGTAATACGAAAAATGTTTGTGGAAAAGTTAAGTAAAAGACATCATAGGCAGTTTTCAGATTTTTCAATTACCATCGTGATGAACTTGCAAATACAAAACAGGAACCTGATATGTTACGCTATACACAACATGGTATTCCAAATGCAATAAATCATTGCTGGAAGGATCTCGGATTTTCTGCGCATATTTAAGAAAAGCTTGCCCTTCGCTGGAACCCTGCAATTTAAATCAAATGAATAAAGAAATAACATATCTGTTTATTCATTACCTTAATTTCCCAACTCCACGTATCTTGCAAGCTTTCGGATATTTTCAAAAACTCCAGGGATTCTTTCGTATATTGTTGCCAGCTAAGAAATTCAAGATCAGACATGTTACGAGAATTTCTGGACATAGTAACCAACTTCGTAAAAAATGTTTATTTTAAGTTTTCAGATTAGATCCGGTAATTAGAGTAAAAATATTTCCAGAAAATTGATTTAAAATTTCTTTAAAGTTTCTGAAAAAGTTTTTGGAAAATATTTTTAAATATTAAAGATTTTTTTCGTTCTATTTAAAATTAGCCTTTTAGTCGCCTCATACGACAAGCAGACTTTACTGTGGACATATTCTCTTTCCAGTCCCTGCCCACAGGGACTAACGCACACGTTGCATAACAATTATTAATTTATTTAAATATTTCCAAAATAGAACAATCCTTGATTTATTTGTGATAGTTTTTCTTAAGACAATTTTTTCTCCTACAATATATGAGAAATTAAGAATGTGTGTTGTGCATTATTCTCTTCGCTATGTTAAAAGTGTTATATATGCTATTGTCTAATAAATGGCGGCAAACAGATCATTCGATTACCCCGAACAGGTCAACTCTCGTTGTCTCATTTAAATCACTTTTATATATATTTTTATTGTCCAATTCCTTAGACATTGCCCGGTTTTAAGCGTTTGATTTTTCCACTAATTTTGTTGTTGGCGAAGTTTCTTCTTCCACTTTCATATGATCTGTGGGACGTATTTGTAATACTGTAACTAGATTATTCTTATCATCAAATTTGCAAGTAACTGTTACTTCGCTTAATTGAAATGTAAATATTTGGGAATTATATTTAGTTCGCAGGTAGACTGAACGCGGATCAGCTTCTAACACGTCGACAATGCACTGTTGCTGTACGTTGATAGTTTTTAGCTGAGTAGCCGCTCTTTCATTGAATTCTACGTGCAGACGTGTCGGGGCTTGAACCCAAGCGGGTACCTTGACAGGTGGTGGTGTAGCATAGTTGGAAAAGTTCACAGGTGTTTGAGCCATAGCTGTAGCACCCAATAATTCCATTTCGGACTCTTCACCATCAGGATCTTGCCGCGAGTCATAAAAATCTGAAGCGTTGTCGCATAAACCAGAAGAAGCGCGACCTATAAGTAAAAAGTGTTTTGAAAAATGTGTAAAACACGCATATTAGCTTTGAAGAATTCATTATTACCCACCACGCAAACTTTCTCTGCGTGATCATTAGCAAAATAGTTTCATTCATATGTTCCTTTATTTTTCTCGAAGTTATTTCAACGTTCAGCTCTTAAAAGCATGGTCGGTTACGGTTAAGCAATTTCACTTATTTTGATGTAGCGTGTAGAATGAACACGAACAAAAAGAATACGAAATTGATCACATGTTCATTGTTTTTTATAGTTTTGAATAGTTCTCTGTTAAACATTGAAAATTAAACATAACATAAAAAACTTAAAGGATACAAACGCAAAACTTAAATGAGAACAAAAAAAAAATGCGCTAATCTTTGAAAGAAGGAGCTTCCGTCAGAAAATCAAATAACAAGAGGGTAAAATTAATCCGCAAAAGGACCGAAAGGAACTGAAGCTTTACTCATCCAGCTTGAAAAGTTGGAAACGCATAATAAAGAAATTAATTTAGAAATTAAGAAAAAAGAAAACTAGGCCGATAAAATGCGCTCGGGAAGTGAAGATTCATTTATAACACTGCTATTGGCATTTTTAATTGATTGTCTCTTTAGTATAAACTTATTATAAATTTTTTTTTTTTAGCTTTAACATTTTAAAAGAAGGTTGGACTAAATTAAATTTGCAGTTTTGTTTGTTTATTAACTAATATACACATACTTGTATTGCTTTGGTTTTAGAATGAAAACCGTCGATCGGTGAAGTAGGAATGCTTCGAAGTGTGCTTTATGATGTCTATATTATATACTTAAGCCTTCTTCTCAGTCTTCTTAGGCAAGAGAACTGCCCGAATAAAATAAATTTTCAATGTCGCTACAACGCACTGTTTCACGAAAATATAATTTCTTCACATCATCTAAGACATATTTATTTCCACTCTTATAAGATACGTACAATCCCATCTTTCCGTGGTGGGTATAAAATTTTATTGTATTCGTCGCCTGTGCTTACCTTGAGTTTCTTGAGTTATCGGAGCGTCATAATAAGGTATGTATGGTTTAATATCCAATACTGGGGTTTCATCGATCATATCAATGCCGTAGAAGCTAATGCACGAACCATCAATCTTATCAATTTCCACTAAGCTTAAACCTATAGGGCAAGGCCGATGAGGAGATCTTGTAGCGAAAACACCCACACGTTCACCTGTTAAACGGGGCGGTGCCACCTTTGCTTTGGGATGAGCCATATTCTTATGAAAATGATATATTATCCATAAGTGAGAATATTCTTCTAAACCTTCTAAAGCATGCGCTGGATTGGTGAAGAGATCTGCACGCAAATCAATTTGACCACGAAAATGACCGCCCACTGATGATTGACGGGGCACAGCGCGCTTTTCCGGAAAACAAGTGCGTATCACCCCAATTGAATTGAAGTAAATCTGGCGCAGACGAAAATAATAATTCACTTATACACACCGATAACTAACAAGTTATATTCAATGTCACGATTCTTAAATTGACCTTGCGTCACGTTGCGCATTTTCACGCAAACGCTCACTCCTACGACCTACCTTTGTTGTCAGTGGTGGCTGGTGTTGTTGTTGCAATGGGCCTGCTTCAATGTTGTCGTCCGTGGGGTATGTTTTCGCTATTACTTTCAAGGGCAAAGTCGCATTGTTATCACAATTTCTGTCCAGCTGACGGCAACCTTCACAACGGTAGTTTTTTAATAGATCTGCTATTTCATCAACATCTTTACGTTGTTTGTGCTGTAAACTTCGTACCTGCTGCCTATTTGTTGATACAATAGTGCAAAAGTATCATTATTCATTCCATTGATTTATTTATTCTTCACTCCAACGAACCTAAGCTTATTAATTTCATTACGAGCCACTTGTATTTGATTCTTCAAATGGTCAACTTCATTTTGTAACATATCTTCAAAACAAGTTTTATTCTTTTAACAGCGGTTAAACAACGAGCAATTTGTGCAATTTTCAAGCCTACACGTTAAAAATAGTGTTTCTAATTCAGAGCATGTAGTATTAGCACCTTTATATTGATTCTTTAATTTTGAAACAATTAAAACAAACAAAATTCTTTATTAACTTAAATCACAAACAAAACTTGCTATTGACTTCAAAAGTGGTGTTGATACTTTATAAGCAAATTACTCTCAGATGTAAGCAAGCATCAATACTTAAACGCAATAGCTATAGTTTATTCACTCGCATATATTCAATATTTTCTTGTTTAGATACACTCATACAGGAACGATAACATGACAACGTTATTTTGCAACTGACCACTTTGCCAAACCTTAAAACAGAACACAGCTGCAGGCCCATTTCATTTCCCATTTTTTTGTTTGTTGAATTGCATGAATTATGATCAGAATAGGTTCTACAAAGTGTTTAATTGCATGAATTATGATCAGAATAGATTCTACAAAGTGTTTACAGATATTTGCACTCCCAGCAAAAAATTTAATTCAAAGCCTTTTTTCAAAATATTTTGTTACGTCAAATAATCATGCAAATCCCTTGACACTATCTCTTCTTGATAAATCTAATGATATAGGAAGATTGAAATGACATCATATACTGTATCTTTTATTTACAAATCAATACATTTTAGTGAATTTTCTCCGTTTATATAGAGATCCTTTTTTTTATTTAACTTTTTTTAACATTAGAACTGCCGCGTGGGTCGATATGAGCTTTTTGAATTTTTGAGCTTGAAAAAAGTGGCTGTAAATTAGGTACCATTCCAATATTTTCTTAATGATTAATATATTTGGACCTCTTGTTAATATTGGCGAGCGACATTCATAGGTAAAAGCAATGGGAATTATCAGTATACATAACGGTTAAATTCGATGATTTTGATCTTTCTCTGTCTAAAAGGGGTGATAAACTATGCTTTAGAGAGGGCATAGATGTGCCGAAATCCTCACCTTCTTGTGGTGATCCCCGGGCAACAGCTTCGTCCGACGAGGAAGGATTTAAGGTTTCTGGATTGCTATATCTCGGCGACGAGTTTTCTGAGAGTTGGTGTAGGGGTTCACTGGAAGATGAGCTCTTTACTCAAGAAGCTAACTACTACCAAGGAAATTCTAACCATAAACCAGCTGGTAACTGGTTACGTAAAAATACGTAGGGGTAGTAATTTAGTGAGTGCATGGTAGATCGCCCTCTACCATGTCAGTGCAATGCCCGAAGCTTATATATCTAGGGTTGGCTTACCGGGATGGTATGGCTAATCCAAAGGCAAGACTGGTCTGTTTTCAGCTGCGTAAAGTATGCCTAAAGCTTTATACTTTAAACTGGGAGCCACGGGGGTCAGGGGCCCGCGCACTATAGCCACGTATGCCTGCGGGTATATAGTGGGATTGAAATTTAAAAGTCGTAATTAAAACTAAAATTATTTAAGCGTAACCCACGCCCCATTACCATGTTCAAAAGTATGTTAGGCAAAAGGGGAAAAAGCCTTCCGTCAAATCCCTTTTTAGTAATATTTGCATGTATTATTTCTCAAGAGGGTTTTTTTTATTAATAGGCCAAAGGGAAAGCCATCCGTCAATTCCTTTTTTTGTATCATTAACTCTACTCTTGAGAAAATTCTTATTCCTTTACGACTTTTTGAACAAAGTCCACCATATACCCGCACGCATACGTGGCTTTGTGTTATTTTGCAAAGCCTTTGGCATACTTTGGGCGGTTGTAAAAAGAACCGCACTTGCATTCGGATTCTTCATACATCCTGGTAGCTAACACCAAGAACTACTTTTCTTCGAGATATATAGGTCTCGGGTATTGCACTGACATGGCAGGGGCGATCTACCATGCACTCGCTAGATTACTACCTTCTTCATACTTAAAACCATTCAGAAAGTTCCTAGGTAGTAACCAGCTATTGAGTGAAGAGTTCATCTTCCAGCCAACTCCTCTACCATCTCTCAGAAACTCGTCGCCGAGTTAGTAGCCCAAAACCTTATACCTTTCTTAGCCGGCTGAAGCCGTTGCCCGAGGATCACCACTGGAAGGTGAGGGTTTCGGCCATCTATGCTCCCCATTAAAGCATAGTTTATCTCCCCAATAGTGGTTAGATACACAGATACTTTAATAGACAGATATTTTAATTTTAATTTATTTTTTTAATGTAAGAAACAATTTAGTTAGTTTCCACCTGCGGCCAACTCTTTTTGATCCGTATCGCATACTAATAAATTGATTCTTAAACGGGTGCTTTCCGCGTTGAGTGAAATTAAATTTAACCGCCACTGGGCATCGTACGACTGCCGAATTTTTGACCAAAAATATGCGGAAGCGGATATAAGGACTCTCATTTGTGCCCGAAGTTTTCCTTTAGTTTATATTTATCACTTATTCTCTTCTATTCTTTTTCATAATTTTTGGTTTCCAAAATCTAATTTCGAAACGGTTCGTTTTTCCTCACCACTCTTAAATAATGTTTGCTGGGCGGCAATAATATTGCAAGACACTTCTTCTCGTGAGACTATGAAGATTTCTTCTGTTTGTTCTTTTACAATCTGTTTAATAGTTACTCTATAATGTTAAAACACTTATATCGCTTATTAAGTCGCCCTTGAGATTCGAACCCACGACTACTGAGTTGTTAGTCCAGATCCTTTGCTTACTAGATCACTCAGTCCGAAAAGACCTGAAGTATAGAAGTAATAGCTCGGTGGAAAAACAAAAATATACGTTTCCGCATTCATGCGATAACTGTTACTTTATATAAGTTTGCCATTGTAAGTCTCCAACAAAAACAATATGCCTTATGATGGCAGGATAATTCACTTTCCTTTCTTCTAAAGGCTACTTAGGCATAATTGTGATCGATTATTTTTCGAATACAGTTTTTACGGCCGTCTATCAAATTTGATATTTCGTCATAATGAAACCTTTAATCTTTTTATGAAACAAGGTTGTTAAGTCACTGTAACGACAAAAAAAAAAATTAGTAAGAAAATTATATTCGGTTGCAACCGAATCTTTTATATTCGTCACCGTCAACTACAGAAGATTGAAAAAAGGAAACTTATAAATTTGCATTCTCTATAATGCTGGGTGGACATGGCTGACTTTATCTATTTTTGTAGAATAAATATGTACCGTGTATCTCTTGCAGTTTATGAGCAACGACGAAATAACAAGGAAAACAAAGATGCTCTCAGTTTTAATTTCATAGATGTGTGGACGTCGTAGCCACATTCTTTGACTTGTTTGACTCATTTTTAAATTCTTTTGCAATATTTTAAGCGATACCTTCATTTTTGCGAGTGAGAGAATTTTTACCACAGATACTACACAGTACGGAAGTCGGACAGACGAATAGGCGGGCATGTTTAGCTGGCTTCCAAATCTAAAACTGGCCAAGAATTTATATACTCTGTGAGGTAACGATGGCAAAAATACAAAACAAACCTAATAAAATATTCTTCTTTTATACGAACGAAATTTTGGTTTCTAAAAATATTTAATTTCTCGAACGAAGTACGCAAACAAGGCACGCGAAACTTTCGTTAGATATGATAATCGTTGTCTATCTGTACAAACAAAGTCACTTAACCATAATAAACTACTTCACGAAAGTCATACGCACGCACGCTCCACTTCGAACCCGTTAAAGTGTGGCAAGCATCATGGCTAGTACGTACATCATCTCTCATTTCGTTGTTTATATTATACCGAAACACCTACTTTATCCTTACTTGGAACTACGGCCGTTTCTATTATTGGAAAAACAATGACGTCACATTGTTCTACGTCACTCGTAATAACAACAAGGAATGAATGAAATCAATTAACACAAACTTTCCGAAAATATTAAAAAGTTACGTAACTTCAACCTGTTGTTATACGATTACTGTTATTACGTAGATGCTCTTTATCCCTTTGGTGATTTCATTAGGCATTAAATTATTTAAGATGCAATCCATATTCTTCGCCTAATTCATAACTTGAAAACTGAAACTTCTTCGAAATACATATATCCATTCGGGTCGTATTCGCTACTCTTTGGCTAAGAAGATGAGTCGCTTCGCCACTGTCATCCAGTAAAATACAGTGTTTTGAACTTCTATCCTATTCTAGCTCGTTTTAATTCCGGTTTAGCTAACCCTTTCAGTTCAATGATTTCGCGATCGGTTAAGACATCATGATATAATAGTACATAGATCACAGCCTTTAATTTCCTCCAAAGAGCTTAAAAACTCTTTGTTAATAATTTTTCTATTCCTATTTCATTTTCGTCCCGCTACCTTATACCTTAAACCACTTATGGTATAAGATTGAGTTTATGCGGATGTGTGCAACACCGCATGAGGTAGACCCATCTTTTATCACACCAATTGATTCAGAATTACATTTTGGTTGTCTAACTGACTATGTGTCTGTTTTGTTTTCGTTTCGCCCAAGGGCGAATTCTATTGAAAATGATTCACATCGGACCACTTTTTCGACCAATTTCCATGTAACACGTTACTTTGGAGAATGGTTATATGAATAATTTTAGAGTCGTGCAGGGTATTTAACAGTGGATCGTGATCCATCGTAGCAGCCTCATCATACATCGTCGCCAAACATATCAACTTTCATTGCCTCAGTTTATGAGCGACAAGAAAAAAAATTTCTGCTTTTGAAACCACAATTATTCTCTATTTATGTTGACTAATTTGGATCATTTTCAACAGCAACTTGCGTGCAAGAACTTCAAAATTTCTGGAAAATTTAAAGTCGAGGTTTTCATTGTTGTGAACAGGTGAAAGTTTATGATGTTGGTAGAAGTACTGACCAACATGTTTGATCGATTCAGGCTGTAATGCGGATTCACAACACATAAATTCAATTCAATACAGTTCTTCATTCCTTTATAGCGTAATTTTTAAGAAGAAGAAGCAGGTCTTTACTTTAGCGCCTTTTGTTCCTAGCCGCACATCCCACCATGCTACTCTCAATTATTTCAAGAATTTTCTTAAATATTATTTTAAATTCTAAATCAAGTGGATATTTATGCAGCGCATATTTTTCAATTGGTCCATGCCTAGTGATTGGAAAAGGAGGTGAAGCTTTTCGAGGCAGTTATATAAAAGCTATCTTTGGATTAATTGAGATCGTTATCTTGGTAGAATTTGAATGTTTCCAAAATATCAAGTTCGTCCGCATTTTCTTTCAAACTTCCCTTTAATACCCTTAAAAACCCTCAATGTTCAGAATTCCATACATAAACACATATTTTCCGACTCAATTGACTCCTATACCCATATATATTCGTACAAGTGGTTTTATATAATATATAATCTTATATATATAATTGTACAAAAAAAAAAGCATTTATCTCCCCTTGAATGTCTCCTGACTAGTTTTAGTAAATTTTTAGAGACCTGGCGTTCGATTTTCGCATATTTTTAAATAATTCCTGTTAATTCTTCGATATATTCGTACAAGTTGTTTTATATAATATATAATCTTATATATATAATTGTATAAAAAAGAGCATTTATCTCCCCTTGAACGTCTCCTGAATAGTTTTAGTAAATTTTTAGAGACCTGGCGTTCGATTTTAGCATATTGTTGTTTACAACAACAAACATCTACTGTTGCCTCTAAGCCTTCAATTAAGGGAAAAGTACGGATTAGTGCCGCAATTAGTGTCGATTATAATAAAGTTCCGGCCATTAGTAAATACACTAGGTAAGCCAGTTAAATCCTTAACTGTCTCATGATGAAAACGAAATAGTTTCGTGTACTGTGCGAATACTAATTGGCACGAAAGGTGCCAAGTAGCCTGGCTACTCTTCATAGCCATCGTTCCTATTACATTATTAAATATATGATCGACGAACGCAATAAGACAATTGATAAGTCCGTTCAGACATCTCCTCCGAAAGAGTGTAAATCGTAAAGCACCTGAAACGAAGAAGAAGAAAAAGCATTCGTGAGGAATGCTCACGAAAAGCATTCGTGAGGAATGCTCACGTGCTTGGAAAAACTGCACCTCCATATACTGCAGCCATTAAATTTATATCATAGAGCAGGTCAGATTTTAAATATATTTCAAAAAGACATGTAAAATTAATTCTCTTTATTGTCATTGTTATTTCTTTGAACTAGTACGAGTACGTCTTTAACCCGATAGTCGCCAGTTGCTTAAACGGTCCATACGTTCTTTAGGCGTTAATTTATTTATTGAATTAGTTCTTACGTTACAGGTACTAGCAGATAGTGTGGAAATACTAATCGGAACAAGAACGTAAAGCAAGCTAAGCCGCTAAATTTTCAGAGAAAACGCGCAATTCTTAATGAATTGACAGGTGCTGGTGAGAGCAAATATAACAGAATGAGCTTAGAAACGCGTTTTCTTCACGCTCCTTCTTCTTCTGCAAGTCAACAAATTAACAGCAAATGATTCTTTGAGTTGAGTAAAAAAATTTCATATTCCTATCAAGTTCTTGTGTTTACTTCATTTAGTTCTTGATTTGACTTGCCCTAAAGACTTGGCAACAATTGTGTTTGACAGTGCGTGACTGGTTAAATTTCTTATTTCTGATTTTGATTCCATTGAAAAGAGTTTTTCATTTACAAAAGTATTTATACGTAATTAATTGCTAAGAAAATGTCGCGCGGTAGTTCTGCTGGCTTTGATCGTCATATTACAATTTTCTCACCCGAGGGTAGACTTTATCAAGTCGGTTAGTAAATGATCAAAATTTTTATTTAAATGCATTCATTAAGTACCGCTTTTCCTGCAGAATACGCATTTAAATCTATCAATCAAGAGGGCATCACTTCTGTAGCTATAAAGGGCAATGATTGTGCTGTGGTAGCAACGCAGAAGAAAGTTACGGAGAAGCTAATCGACCCGAATACTGTAACACATTTGTTTAAGATTACCAAAAACATGGGTTGTGTAATGACGGGACGATTAGGTACTAGTCTGTATGCAAAATCTTTAATGGTCATTACAAAATTTTTTCTCCAAAAGCTGATAGTCGATCTCAAGTGCAAAAAGCTCGTTATGAGGCAGCTTATTGGCGTTATAAATATGGCAGCGACATGCCGGTGGAAGTTTTATGCAGACGAATTGCTGATATCAACCAAGTCTATACACAAAATGCTGAAATGCGTCCTTTAGGTTGCAGTAAGTGCCTGCAGAATTCGTTATTATATTTAATTTTATTCACTATTTACGACATAGGTATGGTCCTAATCGCTTATGATGAAGAGAACGGACCTTCTGTTTACAAAACTGATCCGGCTGGCTATTATTGTGGATTTCGAGCCGTTTCCGTTGGCGTTAAGCAAGTGGAAGCTAATAGCTTTTTAGAAAAAAAATATAAGAATAATATGAACGAAGAAAAAGCTATACAATTAGCCATAACTTGTCTGTCTAATGTCTTAGCTGTAGACTTTAAACCGAATGGCATCGAAATTGGGGTGGTCAGCAAAGAATATCCCGAATTTACTGTGTTGACTGAAAAGGAAATTGAAGATCACTTAACTAAAATAGCCGAAAAAGATTAAGAAAAAAAAATCAATAGCTTTAAAGGCTTTCTATTAAAATAAATCGGGATTTTTTTTATGTGCTAACAATCGGTTACTTATCAATTATTATTATTCATTTTTTAGAAAAAACAATATAAATGCAGATTTTAACAGAATCTCCAACAATTACGTTTTAATGTGTGCGACACCACCATAACGGGCCACAAAAGCAGCTACATCAAATTTTCGTTTGCAACCTTGATAATTCATATAACGTATCTTACCAAAGATTTTACGTTCGGCCCAGCCTTGGTCATGAATACCTCCTATAGACCACATGCAACCTAAAAGATGCGGCTCAGCTTTTATTTCAATCTACAACATGAATAAACATTGCACAATATTTACCGACATAACCATTGGGATCCGTTCCATCCAAACTATATCTATCATTTAAAAGTAGAGAAAATTCCAAAGCGTCTTCCGGGCTTTTAGACCATTCTAAAATCTTTTTAGCCCAATACATACGCAAAAAACCGTGCATTTTACCCTCTCGCATCAATTGCAGTTGAGCTGAGTTCCACAAGTCATCGTGGGTACGGGCCTGCTCGAATTCCTCCAAGCTATAGCAAGGAGATCGCACGTCCTTACGATGTTCGTTTAGAGTTTTACGCGACCAATCCTGTAAGCCTTCAAAATTATCATAATTTTGATTATAAAAACAAAAATTGTCCGCCAATTCCCGCCTGACAATTGCCTCTTCACAAAAGGCCACCACAGAATCTTTAAATTTGTGTTCATATGTTTTTATCTCCAGTATACAACGCTGTATTGATATTTGACCAAAATTGAACCAGGGCGATAAGCCTGAGAGGGCATCAATATTCGGATCATTACGTTTCTCATGAAATAACTTCAAACGTTTTTGGCAAAACTCCAACAATTTACGGCAGGCATTTTTATACCCGGGCATTACACCAGAAACTTCATCTACGGTCTTAAGGCACTTCAAAGTGTTATAAATCGACCTCCAGTTCACTTTAGTAGAGGGCTTCTTATTAAGGTATTTGTGTTTAATCAGCGGAGGAAATTCTGTTAAATATTCCTCTAACTGAGAGTTTATTTTGTTGCGAATAGTTCGAGCAGCATATTCCTGCTTCTGGGACGCAATCCATACTGGCACTACATTATGAGCATCAATTTGTACAAAAGGTATGGTTGTGGGTAAAACTTCTTTTATTTCCTCTAACCATTGTAGAGGCAAACGTAACGGTGAGAAATCACAAACTACAGTCGCTGCATCAACTTCTTTAAGAAATTCCACTAAAGATTGATGAGCAGGTCCATTCAATAAATGAAAATTTACATTTAAATCTTCACATTCTTGAGCGACTTCCTCCAAACCGGTTAACATAAATTTATAATGCCTGAGCGTGGTATGTATGTATTTGGGTAAAAGGCAAAAACATACGCAGAGAGGTAGTTCAAGTTTTAGAGCCAAACGCTGAGCGTACAAAAAGGCCCAGTTGTCTTGGACACGTTGATCCCGGTACATCCAATAAACTACCGGCCCTTCGCAATCTTCCCTAACTTCACGTTGATTTTCGGTTAAAATGCGCACACGTTTCTTTTTATATGCAAAATCAATTACGCTGTCTGAACAGCATAAACGTTTCTGACGAAAGGATTCCGCCAACGAATTGTTGTGATCTTCATCGAATTCCTGGCGGTTTGAAAATTTTATTTTTTTAGAGATTTTGGCCGATTGCTTTGAGCGTTTCATCTTAAATAAACTGAAGGTAATAGAAACCTGTATGATTTTATTCACAATAAAAAATATAAACTTTTAAGCAAATTCAACCTTTTGTGTGCATTAAAATTTATGAATGCAGCAGTAGTTTTTACACTTTTTAACATTAATGAACAGAGGAAAATAAAGGAAAAAACGTCTTAAATACAAATCAAAGGTGAAAATTAAGTTTAAAAAAAACTTAATATACAGAGTTGCATTTTAACATAATTATCCAACCAGTACCGTACTTTTGCTGCAACACTCAATTACGCTCTTGTAAAATACTCAATTTTATTTTTCATAATCGTTGTGTTAATCGCAAGCTCATCACGTAATTTACTCATGTCCTTTTAAGATATATTCAATTCTTCAAATTTTTGTATGAAGGCCATTAAATTTTTTGTACCTTCTTTTTTATTTCTAATAAAAATTCTAAAATTCCTTAAGCGTTAAGCATTTCTACAAATAATTTCTTCAATAATATATGGAAAACAATGCATGCCATATGATAGGCATAGAATGTTGGCTTTGCTTGCTAATAATAAACGAATTCAATAGGCAAATATACATGACATAAGACCCTTAGAAAATCATGTAGAAAATCATGTCTAAAAAAATACATACGACATATGGTAAATGGGGATATGTTCCATAAGTTTAAAAAATTGTGGAAGATGAAAAATCTCTAAACATTTTTCCAAAAAACCGTGCAAAAAAAGGACATCCATATTGCATATTTATGGAACAAAAACAATTCATTTTTCTTGCAAAAAAAAAAATTAAAATTAGTCTGCAGTGGAAATTCAGTTCTCAAGCGCAACATACAAAAATTTAAATTAAAGTATTGAATAAAAATCAATTTTGCAATTTGATAACAAACGTGAACGTGGGCTGGAGTCAGGTAAGGCACTGTAAAAATTAGAATTTGAAAAACATTTTCTTTTGTATATTGTGTATATTATATGCGTTTAAAAATGTGTTAATGCTGAAATAAATGCGATGTACCTGACAAGGTGGTGGATTCGTTTTTTCTTATTGGGTACCAAATTAAACGGAAAACAGCTGTAAAATGTGTAGCAAGCACTTAATTTTTTTGAATATTCATTAGAAGGTCGGTGTTATTTTATATACATTACATTATTTTATATACGTTTGTTTTGTTGTGGAGAATGTTTCAGTGATAGATAGTGCAGTGACACCACTTAATAATGGTAGGTTCTTTGGTTTGTTGTAGATTCTTTATTTCGATTTTTGATTGTGCTTAAAGTACTTTGTTATACGATTATATGATTATGACTATATGATTATAACTATGTGATTATGACTATGACCTATCTAATGTATGGTCAGTATCTTATATACAGAATAACTTAATGCTAACTTAAGCAATATAACTAAAGTAGGTTATCGTTTAATAACGTAAGCATATAATATATTAATAGCTTACTACAAAAATTGCACTATTTTAACTAGGTTAGTAGTAAAATGTAAATTTAGCAATAACTTGTGAACTACGGTAGAGTGCGACAAATCGATAATACTACACCTTTCCTCTTGGGAAGAATGATCTTTAACAATGAATGATCATTCTTGGGTTTATCAATTATCGATGTTATTGCCTCCACCGTAGTTTTATAGTGTACATATATTTTGTGTGAGGTTTTTATAAATATTTATGTATAAAATTTGTTTGTATTACAAAAAAAAATTTCTTTTATTTATATAGGGGTCTTATACATAATCATGCTTTTACAGAACAAAATTTTGTTTCTGTAGGTTTTTTATACGTACTTATGTATAAAAAAAAATTGTTTGTACAGTTATATTATTATTTTGTGTGTGTGTAGTTATATTTATATTTTGTTAGTGTAGGCGCCTTACACTTAGGTAACTCATGAAGCTTCGTGATATAATTTTAACCTATTTTTGTGTGTGATTTGAGTTTTATTTTTATTGTCTATTATTTTAATATTATTATTATCCTTAATTTCTATGACCTTATACGGTCCTAAGTACTTATTCTGTAACTTATGCCCTACTTCATTTCTTAGGAGTACTAGGTTGCCTACTACTAGTGGTAAATTGTTAGTTTTCCTGTCGTAATTTATTTTTTGTTTTTCTTTTTCCTTATCTAACAGTAACCTAGCGCGCGCGTATGCTATATCTAATCTATATTTAGTCTATGTTATATAGTGGCTCAATGTTTTTCTTGCGATCTGTTAATTGGGTTGGTGGCCTTGCAAATACTAATTCATAAGGACAGTAATTGTGTGTTGTGGAAGGTGTTTTGTTAAAACAATATTGGAAATAGTTTATCCAAATATCCCAATCATTCAATTCAGGCGATATATATTGAACGTTCGGTGGTTGCGTTCCATCGTGCCGAGTGTCTGATGGTGGTGGGCTGTTGATGTTATATTGTCAATTTTGAGGTACTTACATAAATCGTTCATTAGTGCATTCTTGTATTCGGTTCCTTGGTCCGTTACAAGTGTTTTCGTGGGCCCGTAGTTTAGTATGAAGTTCTCGAAGATTGCCTTTGCTACGGTTTTAGCACTTTTATCTGTGACCGGAATTGTCACTAAATATTTGGTAAGGTCGCAAATTAGTGTTATCGCGTATTCATTACCTTTTTCTGTCCTTGGTAATGGGCCTATGGGGTCGACTACAACTGTATCGAAAGCAGTTGCTGGTGTTGGGGTTATGGTCATTGGTGTTTGGGTATGGGTTGTGATTTTGGCTTTTTGGCATAGCGAACATTCTTTGACATACTTGGCTATTGTTTTTGTCATTTGCGGCCAGTAATAGTACCTTCGTATTTTCCACAAGGTACGTGTGATTCCAGTGTGACCCCCTTCTATTGGGTCATTGTGGTATTTTTGTAGAATGGTTTTGATTTCGGGCTTATTATTTTTGTCTATAATTGTCACCACTTGGAGTAGCGCTACTCTTATATTTTTTAATATCTTATTGCCCATTATTTTAAATTGGTTCCGCGATACGGATTCGAAAATCCTCTCGCTTGGTGACATTTTGAATTTTGACAATTTTATTATACCGGCTTGTGTTTCAAGCCTTTGGAAAAACTGACCTAAGGCGAGTTTTCCACTGGTATAAATGTCGTTTATTACGAATTTGGCAATTATTTTCCTCCCATGTTTCATGCAACATTTATCGGAGTCAAATTTTAATTGCACAAATTTCCGTACGTCATTATTATTAATGACTTTATAGACTTTGGGCTCCACATTCTTATGTTCGCTTACTTGTCGCTTTTCTGTGCAGTTATCTTTCTGCCGCGTTACAGATCTTGTTACTACCTTATATATTTTGTTGTTTATTTCCTTCAGATCTTTAATTGTTATGCGGGATAGGGCGTCCGCTACGTGATTATCTTTCCCCTTGAGGTACTCTACCGTAAGTCCTGTCACGGTCGCCATATAGTGACACCACTTAATAATGGTAGGTTCTTTGGTTTGTTGTAGATTCTTTATTTAGATTTTTGATTGTGCTTAAAGTACTTGGTTATACGATTATATGATTATGACTATATGATTATAACTATGTGATTATGACTATGACCTATCTAATGTATGGTCAGTATCTTATATACAGAATAACTTAATGCTAACTTAAGCAATATAACTAAAGTAGGTTATCGTTTAATAACGTAAGCATATAATATATTAATAGCTTACTACTAAAATTGCACTACCCTAACTAGGTTAGTAGTAAAATGTAAATTTAGCAATAACTTGTAAACTACGGTAGAGTGCGACAAATCGATAATACTACAATAGATTGAAGTTGAGATTGAGATATTCCTTTGACCATTTTCATTTCTTTCAACTAATAATAATCTATATATTTATACATGACCATACGGTTTTATTTCTTTTTTTCTTTTCTTCTTTTCAGGATATATTAATGTTTTATACAAATTCTGTAGGTAGAGAAATATCTAAAGAGTTAATAGGAAGAGAAGTGAAATAGTATTAAATATGTGTTGAAAAACTTACTGGCTTAATAATGATTGTTGTTTAAGTCAATTATTTTGTCTTTGTCAACTTATTTAGTTCAATAATACTGTGTAAATAATGTTTAATTTAAGGAGCCCTGCAGTATCCTAATCAGTTGAGTCCAAAAAAAAAAAATTACTTACTCTACGCACTTATAGATAGCAAATCGCGTAAAGGAGTTCGGAAATATGCGCTTTTCATGTGAATGGCACGTATTTGACGGAAGAAGTTTAAATTTCGACCAAGAAAAAGATAGTCCTTAACATTATGATTGTTATTATGTTGTGTATGCCGCACGGTGACCAAAAAGATCTATTGTACCCGACCAAGCTCCTTACTTTCGCTACTTTCTTTGGTTGGAAGCTCCATGCTTGGATCCGTCGTTATGAAATGTTCGCCAAACATCACTTCCGGGATCAAAGAAAGAGAAAGCGACAGAGAAAATGCACAAGTCTACAACCGGACTCTTGATTAACGTGCAGAACTTCACCTTAAAGTCTTAATTTCTTTTCAAAAGCATTGACATCTCCCGTGTCGCTCCCGGCCTTATATCCGCTTGAGGATTATCTTGACTAAACTACGCTAACGTACTTTTTTTAGGGAAATGCTTTTAAATGCGCTTGAACACTTCCTAAAGAGAACTATTAGACTGTTAGAGTAGATCGAAATGAACAGGTGACAGTTCAGGCTCTAGCGACCCAGTAGGGATTCTTTTTTGGCACAACCGATCTTTTCAGAGCACTTGTGGAAATACCGAAAGTTTCAAGGAGAAAATTTCTCACAGATATTGAATTTGTTAGTTCAAAAGTTTATGAAAAGTTTACAATTTTCAAATTCATCCCTTGCACGTATCTTCTTACCGTCTGCAATAAATCGACTTTCGCTAAGCACTGATGCATGTATACATGTGAGAACAGGCGACAATTTACAATCGGGCTCAATACCATTTTTAATAACGACTACTGGTTTATCTTGAAACCAGAAAGTGATTAACAATTTGTGTGTATTTCGCATTTAATATATATGTACACGCGACTCTTATTTTACACCGTCCTGTTTTACCCAATTTTGAAATGACACGGTTCACCAATTAAATCAAACACTAAAAATTTCATGCAAACGTGTCAAATATAAACGAAAACAAAATAAAAATGTTGCGGGGAGAATTTTTCTTAGCTTTTGTTTAGTTTTATAAGAACATTTTTGGATTTTGATCGTTTTCAGACGTTTGAGATAACTGTGGGCTGATTTTTGGTAATGTTGAGAGTTCAATTTTATGTAATCAGCGAATTATGCTACAGGTGTTTCTAGTAAAAAATTTCATGCAAACGTGTCAAGTATAAACAGAAACAAAATAAAAATTTATATAATTTAGATAATATTATCGTTTGACTGAGCATAGTGCTGAAGGAACAATTCAAGATAATTGCGGATATCTTTGTTTTAATTTGTGTGTAAAAGAGACATTCTGAGGTAAGAAAATTAGGCGTTAACATCAAAACATCAAGAAAACTCGCATCACAATTATCATCACAGATGCGCGAGCGTTAAATAAAAATAAGCACTATTTTATCCAATCTATGGTCACGCCCCGATCAGGATAGTGACGGCCATTTTCTAACTCATTGTGGATTTTATTGCAAATGTAAAATAATAAAACACTTTCTCTTAGAATACTTGATTTTTAATTTTTCAAACCAAATTGTATATATTTTCTAATTCATAAAGATATATATTATTTCTTGTTCTTCTTGTATTTTTCTTTACTTTTGCTTAAGTTATCTAGGTTACATGATGTGGGTTATAACACGGGATTCGTTTCAGTTAATTTCAAAAATCAAATAAAATTAAAATGTCTCATTTAATAATAAATTGCCTTTCATATTTATTTAATTAATATAATAATTAATACATTATCTCCAAATATCTATTGATATAATATACTGCACTACCTTCGTGCAGAGCTTAAAATAATTAAAGTTTCAACATAAATATAGATTTGTGAAATTAAGAGCCTTTCCGAGAAATTTATACTGCTGCTTACAAAATATAAGAAATAACTGAATCAATTAAAATATAATTTTCATTTAAAAATTTTTTTTTTTTAAATAAAAACCAGCATATAAATTAATTTACAAAATTATAAATAAAATTATCACAATTAATAAAAACATTGATAATATTAATATGGCTGCCCATTGACGCTTATCTGAAAGGACATAAAAAAAGTTTTATAGGCTTCATTAAAAAATATGTATAAACAAAACAAGCAAGACAAATTATATTCGGTTGTGAAAGAATATTTTCTAAGAGAGAATTAATCTTCTCTACTCTTCAATATTCGGTGGGCGTGGCTGACGTTTGCTGTTTGTTACAATAAAAGTCTAAAGCAGTAAAAAATACGGATAAGTTTGTTGCATAGTCCTGTCCATGTTCAAGTTCTTTTGCAAACCTTTAGGCGACATCTTCATTTTTACGAACGAAAGAATGTCCGCACAGTTGGGCAGATGAACAGGCGGACCTGCTTAGGTGCGTTCTGAATTTGAAACTGATCAAGAACTTATAAACTTTGTATGTAAACTTCAAAGCTTCCTTATGGGAAGAGTTGCCCTGAAATAATGTAATTTTTTGGTTAATTTAATTACCATTATTCATGTGTAAAACTTTAGCCATTTTTTTCATGGTTGAGTCCAATTTTGAATCTGTTGTTTCGAATTCGTTGCCAAAGTCATCCAGCATTCTAAATAATAAGATTTTCTTTTACATAAATCAAACTTTCTCTAAAATAAGTTAACTTACACTGCCTGTTCATCTAATTCTACGCCAATTTGACGTGATACAGTCTTCAGAGTCCCAATAGAATCACTTATCATATCTAATTGTTCATCTTGATTTTGCATCATACGCTGTTGCACGGACACCGTTTCACTGATGAAACGATGTGCCGGACTATCCAATGTATTGTAATGGCCCGGACTGTCCAAAGCATTTTCCAACTTTGAATATTTAGTACCGCCATATTTGCCTGCCATGCTCCCGACTAGGGTACTAGCTACGCTACTGCCGCCGCCACCACTATTATTATTCCCAACACCTCCGTTCAGCAGAGAATGCGTGACGGTTAAATTGTTATCGCAGTCCACCAAATGTGCGCAATCACTTGTAATATGATGATTATGATTATTTGTGGAATTATTGGAATTTTGTATATTAAGTTCGTGCTGTTGCTGCTGGTGTTGTTGTTCCTGTTGATTATGTTCATCTAATAAGGGTTGATGGGCTGTTATATCTCTATCCCGAGCACGATAAAAGCTCATCTTCTCTTTCATCTGTTTGACTTCATCGCGTGTATTGTCTATAAAGTGGCGGCGACTGGACAGTTCACGATTATCAATACGAAATTTATTAGGATTCTTTCCCACAATACGTGTTGTCGTCAGGAAAAATTACAAGTCAAGGAAATCACTTGACAATATTACAAATTAACAAATTTTGTAAGAATGAATATTAAACAAACTGTCCTTCTCTTTGTAACATTCAAATTATTAACATTAAAAAAAAAATTTTAAGACGTAATTTGAAAAACATAAAAATACCATATACAGTGACGCCAAGTCAAACCAGCTAAACTAATTTATTAATCTCTCTTACTATATCAAAAAGAGTTTAGAAATTTCAGCTTATTTCATAAAATATTTAGAAAAAACAAACCAAACTTAAATTTTAAATTTTATAAAGCTAAAATATAAAATGCTGCTCATTCGAATGTCAAGCCAAACTCGTACAATACATCTAAATTTAACTTTGTTCTTGAATATTAATATGCGGCCTTCGTTTTTTACCACCATTTTTAGTACATTTGCGATACTTTAAACAAGTTTTCTGCAAAAATTTGGTTCAATTTTTCTGAAGAGTTTCTTGAAATCGTCCTTGAAACTTATAGCGTGCTGGAGAGTTTTCCTATTGAGATAGCTGCATAAATTTTTAATAGGGTTTACATTTGGACTCTGTTTTCCTTGCAAATATTCAGATACATGTGCTGATCGATAATGCACTCAATAAAATGTCCAGATACAAAAAATGAGTTCTACACCACTGTTAGCTTCAAATAATTGGCAAGAAGCACTTTTTTGGACCTTCTCCGTACATATGGTTTGCCATTTGAACTAAAGAGGTTAAAGAGGTTGTCACCGACTAGCACGTTCGTTCGAAATGACAACACTTTTGACTGGTTTTCCTCGGTGAATCGCTGTTTATTCATTTCTTTTGATAAGTGGTTTATGACTTGCGTTTCTGCTTTTGAAATCACTCTTGTGGAATACATATCTTATTGTTTGTGGGCAACATTTTGTTCCTTAACGCCTTTCGGCGAGTTTCGGCATGCTTGAAAAATGATCCTTTTTGACTTGCCGTAGAATATTATGCCCCTTTTGACTTATTTTCAATCTTTTTTTAAGATTTGTTTTTTTATGATTTTTTAAAAAGTGGAACTATCAAAGGAACTTAATTTTAGTGATTTCTGCAACTATTTTTCGCAAAACAAAGAAACTGAATTAAAAGCAGTTTTGCGTAAAACCAACCAACTGTACGAGTTAGGCTTTGGCGTGGACATTCGACAACTTTTGAAATTTTGATAAATAAATATAGCCACACATTAACTATCCTTTCATGAAATAAACAAATTTTGATTCCACGCCGCTCCTTCCAAATAAAACTGTAGGTTTATAATAAACACTTAAGCGGTTACAAAATTGATGACAGATAACAGTAAATCAATTTTGCTATTTAGTACCAAGAAGTAGTATGTGTCCGTTGCATGCCTATGCGTTTAATTTCTATCTTATTTTATAAGTTTATAATAAGAAAACGAAGAAAATTTATGTAAATTGTCGAAAGGATAACTTGAATCCTTTCTTGTAATTTTAAGCAGGAAATTTTCCACTTACTTTTAAAAAAAAGTTATAAAGAATTTAAGAATCAAAACAAAAATTCTCAAAAACAAAAAGCAATCATAACAAAAATATGGAGAAGACCAAATTAAAACATACTAAGATAAGAATTGATTTTTCACACATTTCTCGTAACGCTGCAAAGAAGTAATAAGCTTGTAAAGCAATGAACAACATGAAAAATCTATAGGTCTTTTAAAAATCTTTTCATTGGAAAGGATATTAATTGTGTCTTCCAAGTCCTCCAAATCCCACTCAATGCTACGTAATGAGTTCCTTAACTCATTTGTTGTCCATTCAGCTTCAGCACTAGCGCAATTTTCTCCCAATTCACGCCAACGCAAGTACAGACCACGAGTTTTATTCAAAGCTTTAAATACCTCACTAAAATCGGATAAGAAAAATTTTACACAATTTGTAATATCATTTTTTGCTAATTTCGTAAGGATAAAATTAATAAAACACACTCTTTCACCGCAAAAAAGGGATCTTCCAGCGACATGACACTATTTACACTAAAAAAAAAACAGCCGTTTTATCAAATATGAAATCCTTTTTTTTCAAGTTTTCATAGATTTTTTGTTTTTTTATGATTTAATCTATCAGCTAACACAAGTACTCACACGCAGGAAATATAACTTTGAAGCGAAAGGAAATGTTTAAGTTTTTCTCAAAAATAAAGAAAATCGAAGAAATAACAGAGAGAGGGAGAGAGAGAGAGAGCGAGAAAGTAATAGAGAGACTGAGAGATGGTAAAAAGATAAGTCTAACAGTCGAAATGATAATTTTTTTTTTTGTAAAAACTTGCAATTCTTGCAAAATTTCTAATTACTTTTATTCTTATTAAACTTTGCAGTTTACAATTGTTCCGATTATTTGCGCCAATTCCACTCGGATAACTGTCACAATGCAAAATGTCACATTAAATATATCACCCATTAGTCTATGCAACCAAAGAGTTCTCTCTCTAACTGATAATATATTTCTTCTTCCTTTGCCGCTGCTTGCGAAAAAGAAACATATAATAAATGCTTTCAATGTTTGTTTATGGCTTTGTGTTGAATGTTTTTCTTTTTTTTACAGCACACATATGTTTGTTCACTTAATGCATTTACGTCTTCTGTTTATTTTGTATAAGTAGTTAAAAAAAAGTAAAACATTAAAATTCTTGTTACTAAAATTTCCTTTTTACGTATTCAAGGTACCTTTCGTGAAATATGATTTTACCGGAAAAACGTTGGGTTTGAGAACTTTGTCGTTGATAATATTTTTACTTTTGTTTTTAAGCTTGCGTAAAAATCTTAAAATATTTTATAAACGCTTTCTCCGATTTCTTTGCAATTGGTTTTTATTTTCACTTGTTAAAAATTTTTTTTGCAAAAAATATGATTGAAGATAGCGTTTCCACATTAGACTTTTTAACATTAATAGTTTCCGCAAAATATAACATTTTTATTACGTACAGCTGACGCAACTTTACCATTGCCAGTTGCAACAATTTCCTATATTTCTTTCACACCACTTTTTGAATTCATACGTTTTTGTATATTTCCTTCGCAACACCTTTTGAATTGTAAACAATTTCCTATATTTCTCTTTTGCAATTTGTTCTAGAAATTAAAAATTTAGTTTATTTATAGAAAAGAGTATATAATAGAAGATTGAAAATTTATATTATTTCTTATAAGTGTATTTTCAAGAATAGCAATTAGAATTTTATTAGGGTAAGAGATTTAGTTTATTGTTTTCGGTTAGCTTTTTATATAAAGTGATGCATGCCTAATACCCAAAACTTATATATATATAAAGATCTTAAAAAGGCCAGTACTAAGAAATATGTTCTTACTTTCTTTTACATGCAATATAATAATAATTTTATAATTTTATCAAAAAGAGAGGAAAATTTTAAATTCCAAAAATGTTTGAAGTTTTGTTGATTGACTTCAAAAAAATTGACTTTGCTGTATATTCCTAACGCAGTGGCTAAAGTAAATGCTGGAGGGAATTGTTGTGTTTGTTGTTTTTGTTGTAAACATTTTTTTAAAATTATTCGTTTTGCTGCTGGCAGCATTTGCATTTTTGCTGTTCCGCTTCTTTACAATACAGATGTATGCGATATTACGATAAGACGAAATGCGCGAAATAAGTGTTCTTTTCCAGTATTATGTTCGAAATAAGTATTCTTTTTCAGTATTAGAAAAGATAAATATGTCAATATCGTAAGCAAGCAGATTTAATACACTGAGTGTAGTTATAAATAGCGATATTCTTACGGTATTTGATAAAATATTTAAAAAAACAAATGAACAATCGCGCTGGGCAAATGAGTTATAAGCGTGAACTCTAAAACCAAAATTATCACAATTAATTTCTTAGCAAATAAATAAATAAATGATTAATGTGTAAGCATACAAACGATCTTAATTAAATGCTTAAACGAATCATTTTAAATAGAAAGAAAATATCTGCAATGATTAATAATCTTAAAATTACACTGTGTAAAAATTGGAAGGCAACATTTATAAACTCGTAGTAAGGAACGTTCGATAACTACATATGAAAACGGTATTTTTTAATTTTATGACCATAGTAATTTTATTTATTACATTACATTACATTACTGTACATTAAAAGCACAAATATAGTTATAAGAGACCCATTCTTTTTGAAACGAATACCGGGTTCAATTTGGTCAAATGTTGCCCAGAATCGATTGCTGATGCCTTTTTAATTAATCTAGCTGCTAAAACGGGAGCAATTGTATTTATTTATTTTTTTTTTGGTATGTTGAACAGAGATGGACTAAGCCAATAGATTTGTGGCTTATATGTCCAAATAATAAACTGTGGGCGCAATTTTAAAGCTTAAATTATACCTGATCGCAACCGAAGCAGTGAAAAGTACTTCAAGATAGTTTCCTTCCAACAAGTTCGCTGCCCGATTCCAAGCCTATCAACTAGCGAGTCAGTCAGCTAGCTAAATTGTATGATTGTGTGTGTGCCTTAAAGCACAAATACTTTTCCATATCGGTCATCAATTGAAAACAAAGCATACAAAGGCGTACCGCAGTCAACTCAACTAAAATAATAAACTAAAACCTTTGAACATAATGTTAAAACTTCAACGGATTATGTTTGCAAAAATTTATATTTAATACAATTCTCTTATGAAATTTTGAAATTTCTTTGCACTACTCAGTATGTTCTTGATACGCTTAATTAACATGCTTTATAATCAAGTGAAAGGAACATAGTTACCCAGGCGCTAACATTATTAAATAAATTTACAATAAAAAAAAAAAAAAATATATATATAAAATAAAAAAAAAAAAAAAAAAATATATATATATATATATATGAGTTATAACCACGACAACTGAACAGTATTAACATGTTATCCATTAACTATAAATAATATATCATTGATTTTCGGTTAAATTCTTTTCTATGCATACCGATAATAATTTTTGAGCGACCACGAAAGATACATCACCAGAATATTATAAGTTATATTGTGTCATGAAATTCAGGGAATTTTCAACCAATCGTAAATGTTAGAGAAACCAATTTTTGAAACCGAACTAGCTTCGACAATGGTAACAGTCTGACGTATTTGCTTTTGCAATTTAGACATTTGCAACATCAATAAAGCTTCATTACGCATCTGACGGTATGCGTAGTCCATTTTGGAAAGCACGAGTAATATGCGCACTTTTTGTAGACGTGGCTCAGCCAATATCGAGTATAATAAAACACCTTTAAATTTTTAATAAGAAAAATGTAAAAGGAGTAACTTCGGTGAAATGTATATTTTACTTTACCAGCTGACGATATTTGACATAAGTTGGCTGTATCAACTACGTAGATTAATTTCTTAACACCGTCAAAGTACTGTCGCCAAATAGGTGCCATATTCCCGCCAATCTCTAATACACGTATTGATTTTAGCGGTACAACTGCCTTACCTTTCTTTCCAATTTTTAAAGAATCTTCTTCTTCTTTCACCATGTGGCCTGTAGATTTGAAGGTATTTTTGCCGTCCGTCGGGAAGATAATGTTATAAATACTTGTACCAACAGTTGGTGTAGAATAAGAAGTTTCGTCAATACTATCAGGATCTTGTAAAGCTTTCAATAAATGAGTTTTGCCAGACCGTTTGGGCCCTAGACACAAACAATCGGGATGACGTGCTAAGGACATCACTTGCACCAATGTTGACACGTAAGTCTAAAAAGTCGTAGTTAAAATAACTTGGAATTAACTGGAAATATATAACGAGAATGAAATTAAACTAAACAGCGGTTGCTACGATACTGCAAGTCTCTTTCACTTTCCCTCCTCTTCCTTATTAATGTACTATCAGTACTCTAAGCATTTTTTGTCTGCTTGTAAATAACAGGCATCAGCAATGTATTTTCTAAAATCTATGTCCAGTTTTTAATTAGACAAGAATTTCAGAGGCATAAATTAAAATACATATATGCTTGGATGGGAAATTTAATCAATAAACAAGATTCAATTTTTACATGATAAAACAAAATATCAACCATTCTTACAAATTTATTCTCAAATTTATCAATACTAAAAGGTCTTCTA